AAGGACCGATATGGAAAATGTGACCTTTGCACCGTTTTAATATGTATTGCTTCTTTTTAAAAAAAAATTAACAAAGCAACTGAATACTTGTAGAAAAGGTAATATAGCTGTCAATAGTGGATAGGACTGGGCCGTAGTTATTACCACTAATATTGCACGTATCAGCTGTTTGTCACGTGACTTGTATAAAAATAGAATTGTTAAGCTGAATGTAGGAAATGTAGATAGTGCAAGGACATACGCTTGTTTTTCAAGAAAATAATTGATACACATTAAAAGAGGTTTATAAACTCTACCTAAAAAGTGCTGGGAGCTAGTCAGTGCTGTTTGCGAAGTACTTAAAATTTTGCCGAAAATGCTTATAATAGCTAAAAATTTCCACTTCGCTTAAATTCTGTTATAAATAAAATTAATGTTATGCAGACCAGGATCAGCTCCTTGCACTTTTCAAAATATACACAATATGAGCAATAAATATTCCAAATTTCAGCTATAACAAAATATTCTATGCCCTTGCACTTTTGATGTATATCACGAATACGCTCATCGTTTTAGCGATATTCTCTATATTCCTTATCCCTGTGCAGCTTCAATGCTACTAGATAAATTCATATTCTATACACATTGTATTTAATAAATTATGATCTTTAAGTTTTAATGATTAGGTCTAAAAATTAGTAATGGTATCACATTTATTCAAGCAATCTTGTAATTATTAAACCAGTCAATTTACTCCTCCGGATCACTTGTACTGCGTCATGTCAAGGCTGATGACGTCATATTTGACAAAAGGCTTTATTCTATCACTCGACTGTATCGCTATCGAGTATTGCAATTTTACAAGTTATTATGAATAATCGATATAATAGATAAATTCAAGTTGTTATTTACGCATGATTATGTCGTTAATTAATTTTTGTAGCTTGTTAAATTTCAATGACGTCACAATTAAACTTACAATACGATGAACAAGGAATGTGAACTCTGACCTTCCTTAACATAGCCGAGGAATGACCGATTTTGTGCTATATTTTGATGCCTTTAACTAAATTACAACACAAAACAAAATTTTTAAAAATGCCATAATCCAAAGGTTTGGAATTTTCCTAAAATTTCTTATTACAAACTTTTTTAAGGAATCATTGTCTAGTATTGAGAGTATTCCAGGGCATTAACAATACTGGGAAACATGGGATAATTTGCATAACGGGCGAAGCCCGTTATGCTAAAATTATCCCATGTTTCCCACTATCGTTGATGTCCCTGGCATACACTCATAACTATACAGTGATTCCTTATATTTCCATTTCATTGTGAAATAAAATTGTAGACAGACATTAAGAATGTAGACTAATAGATTTAAATTACACGAGGACTCCCATGCCGTTTTCAATAATCCTCGCACTCTGACGTCTAACACAAAGGCAGCTGCACGAGGTTTACATGCATATTTGGCTTCCTAAGCGTCAGATACAGAGACAGATGCACACTAGATTTGCATGTGTATTAGGCCTCCTTAGCTGCTGACCTATCGACCTGTCTAATTTACATTCCGGCAGAATTATCAAGAAAAAATTTCCCCCCAACTTTCAAACAGTTATCACAGAGAAAAAAAAAAATTGGAAATATTAAGGTACATTCGTTGCAGAGATATTTATTGTTGAAAATTGGTTCTTTAGAGTAAAACCCAAAATATGCACTATGATGTCATATGCTGTTTTACAAATATCTATAATAAAATTGTGTATCAAGGCAATGTAAAACGATTTAATTATTTTGATACTTGGAACAGATTATTTTTTTTAATGACTTATTTATAAAGATGAGTTAATGTTCTACATGATCTGAGCCATTTACATAATAAATGATTTTTTTTATAGCTATAGTGTCATTTCCACATGTACTTAAGAACAATTAATCAAATAATTAAATATTATCGTTATAATGTCTATTTTTGCAAAAGAAACATATTTTTAATTTAATCTTCTCTTTTTATATTCGACATTATTTTTATGTTTGCTTTTTTCATCTCGGGAAAAACGTCAGCAATTTTAGCACATTATTTACAACAGTATTTAAAAGAATTCTATCTCTGAACTCTCAAAAACGCATTTAACAATTAATACATGTGTTTCAATTAAACAGCAAAACATTACATTTGTTTTTTCAGAGGATATAACGTTATGCTAAATATTGTACGATAAACCTTATATGTAACGGCCCTGAAAATAAATAACACAGTGGTTAGCACAAGATTACTTTGAACTAGTTATAAGTATAATATTTTTACGATGTGTATAGTCCCTCAAGTGCTTCACCATTGTAAATCAAAGCATTTCTATGAAAAATTGTATATACATGTACTTTTGATATATCAAGGTCAAAAAGACAAAAGAAATCAAATTTAAGCTTCAAAGTGTAACAAAGCATTGACTATATTTTAAATCAAATCATAATATTACAAGCTACAATTTACTTAAGCTATTATCTATGGTTACATTTACATGTAACTATAATAACCTTCAGTTATATGTTACTTCTAGTATTTTAAACTATATGGTTACTTTATTTTGAAAATTAATTACTCCCCTGATCAAAATACAATCCATTACGCTTGTCAAGCATTAACGTAGAGTGCTGTTACATAGTAAAAACAATTCTATAATTATAGTTGTACACATTGCATTATTCCTTACAGTACATATGTATAACAAAGTAAACATAAATACAAGTGCCTTACAGTGAACTTATAAAACACAGTGCGATACATTATCCTAGAACTTATAATATTGTTTCATACCGATATGCATCTGATTGTCATTTGAGGCAACGGATTAACTTTGTATTTCCTTCAGCTTCAATAATATTCACATTTTAGCTAACCTTAGTCAAAAATTCAAGATAGCTTTTCTAATTAATTTTGTTTGGCTTCTATTTGTCTTGCTGTCTGTATGCCAAATTGTTTGTCTGTGATTTTGTTTTTATTTTTAGACTTCATCTTAATTAATAAAATGGACCAATTTTAAACAAACTTGCAACAGAGAAGATTTGGAGAATGGAATTCATTTTTTTTTTTCAATTGAAGGATACTCAATAAGGATACGCAATCCTCCCAGGTGATTACATATAAGAAAAAAAATAAATTGCATTTTTAAAATCTTTTTTCTCATGAACCATTGAGCCAGGAAAGATAAAAATCAGGTAGGGTAGGTTAATATTTATTCAACACATACCCTCAGGGTAAGGGATTCATTATAATGGACGACAACACTTTTACATATGAATATATAAAGAAAATCTATTAGTTTTTCAAGGACATTAATGTCATGGGTTGTCATATTAATAAGGAAACATCCTCTGATCAAATCCTCATAACAAATCAAATTAATTTAAATCCTTACCCCTAGGTGAGGTTGGGCCATTATAGACGATAAAAGTTTTATATAGGAATACAAAAGACAAACATACTAGGAAAAACAACGTCATGATTAGTCATATATGTATGTTAGCATCCGCGGATAGTGCAGATTCAAATTTGCTCAAATCATGAAAACTGGGGTAAGTGTGAAAAAGAAAACTAAATAAAATCTTTTCAAACATAAAAAACTAAGATTGATCATTTTAACTGTAAACCAACTTTTATTCACGAGCGAGAAATATCAGCTACATTTACATGTAGCTTTGCGACATAATTTGATTAACGAATATATCTGGCTTAAATAAACATTTTATTTCTCTTTATATTTATAGTGAATACCTTCTCAATCGCGAAAATTAATTGTCGCGCGTTATCTTCAGACATTTATGAATTGCGAATAAAAGATGACGCTAATAATGGTTGGTTAACAGTAAATGTAAGCATACTTAGAAAATGTAGATGCATTTTATTTTAAAATCATGCCGCCTGGGGTTAAGGTGGGACAACAATGAGCGAGCAACGTTTGACATAGGAGAATATTGGGAATGTATATTGTTTTTATTGAGAAAGGGAAAGCCATGATAGTATATAATACAGTGTGTTTGGAAGTATTCTCAATCAGTATGTATTTAAGTTTATTCAATTCATGATCCTCTTGGGTAGGGTATGACCTCAATGGAGATGGAAAATTTTCATAAATTACTGTATTTTCATATTAAATCGGAACCGGATTATACATGAAATGTACTCTATCCTCTCCAAGTGAATAAATGTATAATTTTAACAATATCGAATCAATATTACCCCATTATGACAAATCCTTGCTTTGCCTATCCCTTAGAATAAAACTTTTCAATGAAAATTTTGCAAGTTTTCAAATTAGGCAAATTTTGCCTTTCCTGTTGATCGAGATTTGAAAGAAAATCAAGACTGATGAGGAAGTATAACTTAAAATCAATTTGACTAAACATGATAAAATGCAATCAGGTACTTCAAAACTTAAACAGTCAAAAACTTCTTCTTTACACAAACATCATACCTACATCATAATTCAATGATCATAATTTAACAAAATAATCTGAACCCATCTAAAAAAAACATTACATGACATTTTAATAAATAAAATATCTATTATAAGTATTACATGTACATATCAGTCAAGAAAAAAGTTAACTTACAATGTAACAAACATGTATATCGGACAAACAAAGAAGTCCCAATGTTTATATCTCACAAGAAATGGCAAAATTGAAAAGTTAATTCAGTCTGTAATATTTTAATGAACTGGTTCGTAAATATCTACCCTTTGAATAAGGCATGATACTTAAATCAAGTTAAATTGAATCATGTTACCAAAGATATGTTAAGGAAAGTAAACAGAGAGGCCGACAGAAAGACACACATAGTACAGGTGTATATACACTGTATAAGCAGATGGAAAAATGATACCTAACGATATGCGTGCAGAAAAAGTTAGCATAACTATTACATGTAAGCTCAAGTAAGCTACAACTGAAATAAAAATAATTTTAGCATATCATTAAATTGTAGAGTTTTTCCTATTCTCCCTTTTTTTCGAAGGTAAAATAGTCATGTTAATCTTCAGGGGTTTCAGACACAGCATAGTTACTATGTGGAACAAATCTAGACTGAGGATTGGTTGACTGCCCTGATCATCTGCTCAGATGTGTATACTCTCCTTCATTTGACATCACAGAGGCACCTGTTACGGCGTGGTCATAGACATCGAAAGTGTCATCTATTTTTTCATTAAGATGATTGTAAATATCATTAGTTTCTGATTTTACTGAATGTGTATTGGAATATTCTGGATCCCCTTTGATAATAGGTTTGACATGAGAAATTTTCTGAAATGAATAAAAAACAAACCTTTTCAGGAAATTTTTTTTAAAGAAATTTCCTAAGGTTACCTGTAATTATAAGCAATGCAAGCTAATACAAACGCTGATGAGATATTGTATTTTGAAGAAAATACACTCTGAGATGGTAAATTAATTATGCCTCACAATATAAAGTATGGGTGGACATCATTTGAGCAAAAGTACCATAAAAAGATATGTAATTTAAGTTCGAGGTTTACACTACATGGATCTCAATATTTCTCCCCTATCCCCAATAGAATGAAATAGAATGAAATTATACCGCTTGATGCACGTTCTTTGAATCCATTTGAATATTTATTGGCAATTCTTTTCCATAGCTGATGTTGTTCACCAATTTTGCTTCAGTATTTCTGGAATAATAATTTTGAGGAAAATATAGAAAAACATAATTGGAAAAATCAAGGTATATAATTTTTTTTAAAAAGCATAAAAAGAATGGTGTAAACCAATATCTAATATCAAGATGAAAACAATAGAGAGTAGCTACATGTACCTAAACCTACACCGTATAATCTGTACTTATACATGTACTACTCTTAGGAATCACAAGAATTGCGTTGTTTACCGATTTTTCTCCCTTCTCCTACTCCGTATATGTACAACGTATACAGCTGCAAGACATGTCAGAATCCCTAACACGAATCCACCAATTACAGCAGCAACAATTTGTGCAATGCTGGAATCTCCGCGTTCTATAATAGAGAAAAATATTTTGTTGAATTGTTCTAAATGTAGGATTCCTTTTCCAGTTTCTGACTAAATATTCAATGCATTCAATGCATATTTGCTGATACATTTTTATATTTAGAGTGTTTGAAATCTAACAGTGACTATATACCCTGGTGGAATGGTGTCCTAAGACAGGGTTCTCGACAAGGGCTATTACCATGGCGGCCCGCCATGGTTAAATTTATGTGCGCCATGGTTCAACGAGCTACACCATGGCTAAAATCGTCAGCCATAATGATTAAATTTTATTGCATTTCAGCAGCAAATTATAAAACAGAAAGTATTAATATTAGTTGACATCTTGGAATAATAAACTGTTCTTTATTGCGTGCATTGTATTTTGATACATTTTCATGCTTGTTTAGTACATATTATTCAAATATTCAGGGACAATGTTTTTACAGTTAAAGTTTTAACTATATTATCTTTCTAATAAAATGCTCAAAAGTGTCAATCGCCTCTTTGTTTTAGAGTAACTTCCCTTTTTATGAAACATTGCGTGGTACTATTTTTAGCACTAGGACACGTGGATAAGTAAACAAAGGAGTAAACTTGGTAAAAAATGAAATACATAGATAAAATAGAACATTTAGAAAAAAGGACACTGGTTCAAATCTTCGTTTGTGTGTTAAGATAATAATAAAATACTCCCCATTCATCAGATTAAGCCATCTTTAAACAAAACGTTTTTTACATGCAACAGGCTACAACAATTGTCAAAATTGCCATGGTTCCTGTATCAAAACTTTCCCTTTGAATTCCTTTAAAAGGTAACTACAGATTTTTGTAAATTTTGGTACATTTGTGAAGTAAGTTAAATAATCGTTTTTATTTTAATTTCATTATAATTTTTTTTAGCCTTTTAAGAGTTGGTTATTTCAACGATTCGGTGTCGCAGTGCTTCAATTTAAAAAAAAAACCCAGTAGATTCAGTCATTGATTAATTAAGGTAAGGAAGTCTAACACGTTTTCGTGTTTTCGGTCACATTTCGCCTTCGCACAGCTTCCTCCATGGTTAAATTTTCAAATGTGGGGAAATCTGGTAAGATGACTTGAGGAACTTTCAAACTTTAGTTTAGCTTAGGATAAGTGACTAAGGTGTTAGAATATATAAGAAAAAATGTGATTTTTCAAACAAACTACAATTATGTAACTTTTAAAAGCTCCTACTCTAATAACAGATATAAGCAGACATACCGTAGAAAGTGTTTCCCCCTTTTTTCAAGGTAAGACAACACGTTCATCAAATATATGCTTTCAATTTCTTAGTTATTACCACACCTACATGTTCATATTTTTTTTTTGTATTCATATGAAGCAAAAACTGTGCAAAATATTATGCTTGTAAAAACAAAATTCTTTCTGTAGCCTTCGACTCGACTTTTATAGATATTGACGACGTAATTTCAATTAACAATGATATTCTCCATTCAAATGTCGATACGATATACACTGGGGGCTTGAGATGAAAGATACTACAATGTCTGACACATCTGTTTCATACCCGGATATTTTTATTGAAAGAAACGTTAAAGGTAATATAACAACCAAGCTCTATCATATGATAAAAATAATGCTTTGAACTTTTTATCGTCAACTTCCCTTACTTATGCAGCAATATACCCTCATTACCTGCATACGTTGTTTGTATATCTCGTATGATTCGATACACAAGAGCATGCTCTTCGTATGAAAAATTTCTAAAATAAGCCAAATGTTGACAAAAAAAAATTATGTAACAAGAATATCAAAAGCCTCGTTTCAAGTCATCATTTAATTAGTTCTATGGTCGATACAAAATGCCTGACAATTTCATTGTAATACAATGACCTTGTCAGTAAAATCAATGGATCATTGAGTTTAATGCTGACTACATTTTAATACTAGTTGTTAGTTTCATGGTAGTTTTGTAGGGAATGCTCACTTCTCAAAGGTACTTAATGTTTCCTTTGATATTTTGGAGGTCCGCCTCTGCCCTGCATCTATTTGTTCTTGTCTTATAGCTTTTTAATCTTGAATACATGTACTGTTCGTTATCTCCATTTTTTTATCATTTGTAATTTCTGTTCTAATTATTACTTGTTGCCTTGCAGAAAATATCTTTTGACATAAGTTTATCATTTTTTTTTTAAACAATTCTAAACAGAATAAAAGTTTACAAAGAAATTCATATGAATATTTGTTGAAAAGGTTCTTTTTGAAACAACTGAATATAATGTCAACAGAACTGTTTAAGATAAAAAAATGAACAAAATTTAAACCTTTCTAAAATTTGTGTTCCTTCATTTCTATATTTACCCAGGTAGCACAGCAACGTTATTAAAACGTTATAAAAACGTTTTCAAAATGTTACAAAAACATTTTCTAAAACGTTATTACAACGTTATTTTGTATGGTTTTTTTAACGTTATCATAACGTTTTTCAAAAACATTGTCCTGCAATGTTTTGAAAACATTTTTAAAAACGTTTTCAAAACATTTTTTTAAAACGTTTTCAAAACATTTTTTAAAACGTTTTCAAAACATTTCTAACATGTTTTAAATAATTAAAAAAAAGTACAAAAATAATTATTGTACTTCCTACAGTTTTAATTAGTTTAAACCATTTCACAAATGTAATCCATGAACTTTTTTAACATCCACACAGTCAATGATAGTCTTCTTAACATAGAAGATTTGTCACAATTGAAATTAAAAAAAAATCACAATATCCTTTCTTTGAAAATCATTCGTTTGGCACTTGGGCTTCTTTGTTTTCTTCTGAAAAACAAAGATATAGAGAATAACTTTAGAATATTTACAAACTAAATAAATAAGATAAATACAAGGAAATGTGTATGTTCTATAAAATATATACTAAATAAATCTATCTCCGTAATAATACATCATTGTCAGGAAACTTCAAACATACCTTAAAGTATTAATACTCGTGTAAATCCTTCAAGGATGGTGTGTAGCAAAACCTCATTATGCCCAATCCCTCTTATAACATGTACTCTTTAAAAAGGTACCAAATAATATTTGGTATTTGCAAACAGCTGCTGTAAATGAAAAAATATATTCATGTAAAGAATTGTAAATTGAAAAATATATACATGACACTGTACATAAATAGAAATTAGTTTACATATCCGAAGAAGTATCTAACCAACTCCATCGTTAAGCCCCCCCCCCCCCCCCCCACCCCACACACATACAAACTCATCCTACATATCATGTTTAGAAGCTTTCAAGTTGACAATCTCTCTCTAAGCCTGGGGTGATTATACTAAAGTATACATTAATAAAGAAAACTCACACTAGATACAAGTTACAATACATATGTAAATGCACAATCCTGATAAACTTCCATGATCAGTTTACTTCAAAAACAACCATTAACCGCCCTCAAATATCCAGGATGTATAGAATCATTTACAAGGAATGATTTAGGCTTGTACAAACACATGCAACTATAATCATGATGATAATTTTTCTTTATACATCTATACACAATGAATACTACTTTAAATTCAACATACCTTACGATGATGTAAAATATTCCCTAAATCCTGTTCTTTGTCTTTCAAGAATGCTGCCCGGATTTTCAAAATCTTGATAAGTTGACCTATATAGATCACGTGGAAATAATTTGCAGCAAGGAGCGGTTTCATCAGCACTGACCACGGTATCCCGCTGTGTCAATCAATTAACTTGATAAACGCATTACCCAGGAGGAAACAACATAAGCGAATAAATGCACAGCAGTTCTTTGAACTACATCACATCTTAGAAAAAATACCTTAAAACGGCTTTTTATACATTTGTTCACAATGTTTATTTTTAGGAAATCAATGTGGTATTTAAAACAATTAAAAAGAAGAACTAAATTAAATAAAAAATGGTTGAAATTTATTTTTCCATATTAGGCTTTAAAAGATATCACCAAGAAATTAATAACAAACAAAAGAAAAAAAGGAAATACCATATATGTATTTTTTTTTTTACGAATTGAAATATAGAGATGTTTGTTTATTGTTTCTATAACGTTTTAACAATGTTTTCCAAACATTTTAAGACAATGTTAGGTATCATTTGTAATTAAAATTTATAATAAATTTCATTCAATTTAAAAATAAATATTCTTAAAATTTGAGTCAACCTACACAGCGCTCTGTGTATATTCTTAGAAATATCATAGTATGAATTTTTAGAATATTTTTTCCCAATCAATCATGTCAATGGAATGTGAAAACATTTGTATAATGCTTTTTCAGCAATAAAAAATGATTCTTATTATCATTATAAAAATGTTATGCAAAAATGTTTTCTAAAAACTTCCTCCCAACCAGTATTAAACGTTATGAAAAACATTTTAAAAACGTTTTTGAGAAACGTTTTCTAAAAACGTCATTATAACCTAGATAAAACGTTATAAAAACATTTTTCAAACGTTATGTCAAAAACGTTTTGGAATAACATCCTTACAACCTGAATATAATGTTATGAAAACGTTTTGTGCTACCTGGGTAAGTTGTTTTTGTCCTATGCAGAAAATATAATCAACATCCCTGCTTCATCTATATCCTTTTTAATCTGATTATTAAAAGTTTTGCTTTATATATAATACATGAAATAACCTTTTCACAAAACCATATCCGTTTCAATTACGTAAAGAAGCGTTTTTTGCACAATTATATCTACAAAATTCAAAAATAAAATACCTTGCAATGGAAGTGGATTCTTTGATGTTTCCTTATCACCAGCTGGCAATTCATTTTTATCTACAAATTATAGAGTTTTAGTCTATAAAAGAGTACAACTGGATAAACGATTGGGTTTTTTATTTTTGCCTTCACATATTTTTTTTTCATTTTCTCTTACCCTTCATTACGCTCTCTCTCTCTCTCTCTCTCTCTCTCTCTCTCTCTCTCTCTCTCTCTCTCTCTCTCTCTCTCCTCATTATGTACCTTTTTTTCTATTTATCTATAGTCATTTTACTGCTTAAATATGTCTAGGACGACATACAAAATTGCAATGACGGTAAACAGAGGACATTTTGTTTGATATATTAAATCAAAAAAATAATTAAATAACACTGAGACAAATAAACGAAAGGAAAATGCGTATAAGAAATTGCTGAAGTGCTTCAAATTAAAAAAAATATCTAATTTACAAGAGCGTTCTTAAAAGTGCAATACCTCAATATGAAGAAAACATATGTTTAACTTTAAGGTTATTGTAAGGAAAGTGTTTGTAAATACATATTGTAATTTTTTTGTAATAAATCTTTGTAAGGGTGGATGTTATTTAAGGTTCAATGTGATAAACATGTACATCACTATAAAATTTGGAATTTACCCCCAAATATGTCGGTAAGATCAAGTTTCTGGAAACGTTTCATACAATCATCATATAGTAACTAAAAACACGTATACTTTTTGACGCATTTAATATAAGTAATATTCTTAAATACCAAAGGCCCAGTCTTGTTTTCATATAATATTTCAAGTTAAAGCTAATGCCTAGGTCACATTTAAGCCGATGGTCTGGCTACTAAATGTTTCTGGTCTTGTCGGCTGAAAGAATAGGATCGGCCAACTTAGTATCGGGCGACACGGCGCAGTCACATTAATTATTACCTAGGGACACCGATGACTTGGAAAAAATAACACAAAAAATCTTTTTCTCTCGAAATCAGCAATATTTTTTCATAGATCTATATTCAGATAGGTGAAGTGAGTCAAGTTCGCAAGGCAAAGTGGCAGAATCTTATAAAATTGTGACTCGATGTTAAAAATGTGTGTAAAATTTGTATTGAATTGCATAAAAGCGACAAATGGTGCATATCTAAGCAGCAAAGAATACTTAAGATTTCTTTATATCTTTCGGATTAATTATTTAAATTATCTCCGTTTAAAAAATTTAAATCAATCCATGAATCAAAATTTTGTTTGTGTTATGTATCCTTACTAGGTTAATTCACAAGTCGGCCAATTGTCGCCCTTTCATCGAGCTCTGATTTTAACCGTCGGCTGTAATTTTCAACACCCTTATTGTCCAACGACGGACGACCTACTTATGCCTAGGTCACATTTCCCGGCCGGTAGCCGTAAACCGGTGGTAATCGGTAGTAATCCGTGGTGTTAACGATGCCCAAACATCGGTCCACATCGGCCCAGTAGTCCTTAAAGTATCAGTCACATTATCCAGCGATGTGCATACGATGGGCAACCAATGCGTTTTTTGAGAAAAATGGCGTGGTTGCCGGCCGGACTCATAAAGGTTCAGCGATGCATTGCTAAGCATAAAACGATGTTCCAGGATAATCGGCCGATGTATATTACATCGCTCATACATTGGTGAACATCGTTCGTACATCGGTCGACTACGGGCCAATGTTTGGTCGAACATCGACCGATGATCGGTTGTTATCTGTAGAACACCACTCAACCCCCCGATGACCTCAGATTCAACGGATATTGGACGATGCTCGGCCATACATCGGCCGATCCTTGAAAGATGTGTTAATGATGGGTTGCCGATGAGGAGCGATGTGAGGCATCGTTGGAGACATCGCTGAATTTTAACCACGAATTATCCCCTACCGATGACCCCACCGATTCGCAGAAAAAGACTCAGTCATAGTCCGATCACTAGTGGTGCCCGGCCGGACACCACGCCATTTTCATCAAAAAACGCATCGGTTTCTCATCGTATACCCCATCGTTGGATAATGTGACTTATACTTAACTACACTTGAAGAAATCGGCCACCGACGCATGAAAAATTATAACTTGGACCGATGGACACAAAATTGGTCGGCCGACAAAAAAATAGTTTAAATCGGCCAAGACAACGGCCGATGAACTGACGACTGTCACCCGAAGACTCCCATTTTTGCGTCAAACCCCGTCGGCCGTTGGTCGTTTTTTGAAATGTGACTGGGGTTTAAAGGCTACCCCTTGTATTTCCTACAAACAAACATCGACAATTGCTTCCAAACTTTTCAAGTACAGAATGTAAAATTTAACATGGCCTTGATACCGAGTATCTGAAACATAATCCTCCATCGTGTTTATGTTTTTCTTCTCCCAATAGCTATAGTCCTCTTAGACACGTTATTTTCAGGTGATAAAATATAGTTAAAAATGAAGGCTTAGATAAATTATTTTAGAAGGTCCTGAAAATATAGAACCACGATCCTTCAACTGTCGTCGGAATGTCATGAATATTAAAGATTCTAATTGAGATGCCACAGACTATGGGCTAGATACTGTAGAAGTACTTTTTTCCGCGTGGTATTAATTTACGCTATGATTGCGGTCACAAATTTCCCGCGGAAATTTGTCCAAGCGTACTAAATATAAATGTATAAGCCATATAGTGACAATCTATCCCCGTAATTTTCTACCTGCGGATCAAACAGAAATTGAGATTCCGCGAAATTATGACCCCATGGAAAAAAGTACGTCTATAGTATGTAAAAGAAAACGTTGAAACAAAGAATTAACATTCATGTGCTAATATTTACTTTCACTATGTTTTTCTACTAAGCCAACTGTGAAACTGAATTGAAAACAATTTTCGTGCATACTCACGCGTAGAAATATACACGAAGAAACGTGTGTTAACGTTACGTCACAATGAGTCTGCAGCGAAGTTAGTAAAATGCAACGATTTGGGCAGCGAGAAATTCAAATATTAAGAATATTTTAGTTGCTCCCAAACATGTAATATGTAAATATAAGGAATGTTTTTTAGTTTAGTGTGAATTATTGGTGTGTGCATCCCACAGACTTGCACGTAGGCATATTTTAAACAAAGCGCTAGCGCGCTTCATGAAATATGCCTACGTGACAAGTCTGTGTGATCCATACACCAATAACTCACACAAATCTTAAAAACATTCCTTTAATGCGATTTAGTGTTTTTCTAGCCTCAGAATATGAGAATACAATTTTCACTCACATGGTTGGCATGATCCATTCGCAAAATAATGTTCGTCCATACAGACACACATGTTCTTTCTACAAACACTTGAGTTTGCAGTTCCATTACACTGTTCATCATACCAACAGGTTTGATTGACTTCTAAATCAGCTATTAAAATGAATCATACAAATTATGCTTCTTTTTCTGATATTACAGTTAAGCAATAGTAATGATACCGTATAACGGGTTATTTTAGCGGGTTGCTAATTTTAGCTTATTTTGGCGTTTTTATTGTAGCCAGTTATCTTCTTGGTGTTCATTTGCAAATAGCTGAAACTCTGTGTCCGCAAAAATAAATTACTTCAAAATTATTGGCATACCCTTTTATTATGTAAAGCGCCAAATTTTACACCCGCCAAGAAAACCCGCTATACGGTATTAAATTGTACATTACGTTTCAACTTTCGAGTCATTTCAGTATCAACATACATTAATATCGGAGTATTAACACTCAACTTTTGAGGAGTTCACTCCATGAAGAGAAGAAGAAGATAATGTACAGTCAATATGATGAAATACAATATTCAAATAGTTTATGCTTTATAATTTTCTTCTCTTACTTCGAATGCAGTGTCCATTAACCTCTGTAAATCCTCTGACACATAAACACGTAGAAGTGTCTCTGTCACATACTCTGTTATGTCCTGCTTTGCTGCACTGAATATCAGATGTACACGGTTCACCCATACTGACATCAACTGTAGTAAAAGCTTTAGATAGTGAAGTAGGAATATAAATGATATTACATATAATACTCTTTTTAGAATACTAAAAGCAGTACAATACCAGTGTGAATTTTAAGGCAGATCTTTGAAATCTTAGAATGATAAATGTTAAAATATATTCCATTTTTTTTAAGTTTTGTAAATATTTAAATTAAAATATCTTTTTTTTTTTTTTGAAAAGCTGAAAATAATATACAAAGAAAAGATAGAGAAAAAACCTCTCTTACTGTTTACTACATGTAGTGAGTTTACCTTTCCTACATATCCCACTTATTCGAACGGTGTCATTTACGCAGATGCAAGTACCAATCCTGCCGAAAGCTCCATAACTGTCCATTAAACACTCTTCATTCTCACCACACCAACTGTTTTCTGTGCAAGCACCTAATTAATGAAAAATATAAGACCACCCGTGAGCACTATAAGCTCTCTAAATGATACCCCCGCCTCCCATATAATAATGGCGTAATCCATATTGTGCTCTTAAAGAATCAGATCAAAAATAAAAAAAAAAGGAGGTTCACAATGATATAACGTTATGTAGTAAAGAAAGTGAGAAAGTATCATTAAATTATATTCAGTGGTATAGGAGGAGTTGTTAATAAGAGATGGGTTCTCGTCAATAACATAGATATAATATTGGCAGTGTCCATGCTATGTGAAAAACCATATGGTAACAGATAAACGAACATCTTGATCGGACGGACATATCCTCACTCAAGAGTGGAAGCTAAGATGCCCATGTTGCTGTAGCAACTGATAATTAGCTATTTATCAGTCCCCTACCGATGGCACTAGTGAAGTTTTCCTCCAGTCTCTCTCAGGCAAGACCTAGTTTTTTATATTCATTTTTTTTCGGGGGGGGGGGGGTGTTAGATATAATGAGTTGATTTTGATTTTTGGTTGTATATTGATTTAAGTTAAATACCATAATGAGTTATATATCAAGTCTTTATTTTGTTTCGCTTCTGTGAGTTTTGATTCTATCATTTTTTTTTTATTTTATTGGATCGGATTATTATTGATAGTAGGAGAAAAGTATTGCTGGACTGAGTGCAAAAGCTAACAGAATGCTTGTAAATAATGTTAATTCCAAGGTTTTTATTAAGGTACTTTAAGTCTCCTTTTAATCACGTATTACAAATATTCGCGACTTTTGTAGCCTATAAACGTTTATTTTTATCTTTCAATTGCTGCGACACAATATATATCTTGGTTTGAGTATATAAAAATGTTTCCAAAGTCACGTGTGTAAAAGCTGGTTAACACTAGTGTATTAAAATTCATGAACAAAAGCAAAAAAATACCGTTCACATCAATATGAAGAATCCTCTTTATTTTATTAGATGAACTACAGTCAATATCTCCTGTCCTGGTTATGGTATCTCCATTTAATGCGTTAAAAATTAGGATTCGTGCAGTTTTTAACCAATAATAATCATCAATTTCATCCGACTTATACCAAAAGTAAGCACTACAATAGATCTGCGATTCACACGTTGATGGACCTGCCTTTTCTGAAACGATAGAGGGACGCATTAAGTATACCTGTAATATCAAAATTTTCTGTTAAAATAAAAATAAAACTTATATAGCTTAAAAATTAAATAAAACAATCATAACGATATATCTTTGCAGGTTATTTTTCCTAAAAAAAAAGTTTCAAAGTTCTTATCTCTCAAATTGAAAAGCCAAAATTTAACATTAAGAAATCTGATTTCACATTTCATTAAGCAATGCACTTAATTACATCAACTTCATTTTAAACTCTTAAAAATAAAAAATAATTTGAGAGAATATATAATTTAGAATTTATACTGAAAACAGTAACAATTAATATTGAATCTGTCCACGTCTATCAAATTAATACAAATCTCAAAATATCTTTATTGCTAAATATTAGCATTTCCAATGTCTTTGTCTGAGATAAAATTACAAATAGTTAATGTACAGTATTTCCCTATCAATGTATTGGTTCATCAATAAGCGCGGTAAAAAAAAATCACGTGCAGGGAGGGCCAAATAGCTAGACAGAAGCAGGACTTGTAGCACTTGGATTAGAGGAATAAAAAGCATGTAAATATAACGTAAGGAATAACTGTCAGATTTTCAATTTCATGGCGATGATCAATTGATTGGCTTGCGTGATAATTTTATGCATAAACGCCTTCGGCGTTTCTGCAAATTATCAAGCAAGTCAATCGATTGATCACATCATAAAATCGAAAAATAAGACAATTATTTCTTTATAATTCTCAAACTATAAATTATCTTTATGCAATTTTTTTTACGAAACTATTAACCATTATATTTAAAGGCTAACAAAACACATATTTTATTAGGTTGACTATATAAATTTTAAAGATCAGCCTTTTGCACATGTATACCCCATTTTGGAATATCAAGTTTTCAATCATTCTTAGCATTTTTTTAAGTCAGATCTAAAAAGATAACATAAGCCCAAAATCAAGAAAAATATGTCCAAAATGAGTGTGTTTCAAAATAATTAAAAAGTTTTCCATTGGCTGCATCACTCAAATGGGGACTGTGGCTGGGTAAAAAGCAAATATTAATCCAGTCGTGAAATCCTTTAGTGGTCCCAACCTACTTCAAAAATGGAGCGGGATTATGATTTGAAATACCTATCTACACTTACTAAGAATGTTTAAATATTTTATGACTTACCGTGGCTTTTTCCCTATATGTCTGGGCTTTCATTTTGATCCCTTTGGGGTATGATTTTAACAAACTTGAATCTATACTACTTAAGGATGCTTCAATTGAAATATGACCGGTCATGGCTTTGTTGTTGATGAGAATTTTTTTTTATAAAAATCTATATATACCAATGCAAAACTTTAACCGTCCATTGTGGCCCTATCTTACACACGGGATTAGGATTAAAACAAACTTGAATCATCACTACCTGGAGATAATTCCATATCAATATGACCAATGATACTTTCGTTGTTTTGCAGAAAAAAGATTTTTCATATATATATATAAAACGTTGATCGACCATTGTGGCCCTACCCTACCCCTAGGGGTCATTATATTAGCAATTCTTAATCTTTAATCTACACAACCAGGGGAATTTTCCATTTAAATGTGACCAGTCACGGCTTTGTTGCTCTTTAAAAGAGAACTTTAAAAGATTTTTCATATATGTTCCTATATGAAACATTGATTGGCCATTGTGGCCCAACACTTCACCCTAGGGTCATAATTTAAAAAAAACTTGAATCTTCACTACCTGAGGATGATTCCATATAAATATAATTAATTATGGCTTTGTTGTTCTTGAGGAGAATATTTTAAAACATGTTTCTTACGGTGTATATGTTCCTATGTAACAATTTGATCGTCCATTGAGGCTCCACCCTATACATACAATTATATACCCCAGGGGGTCATGATTTCAACATACCTGAATCCACACTACTTGAGGATGATTCCATATAAATATGACTAATCAAAGCTTTGTTGCTCTTGAGAAAGAGATTTTTTAAGGATTTTTCCTATATATATTCCCATGTAAAAGGTTGATTATTCGCTGTGATCCCAAACCATCCCAGGGTCATGATTTGAAAAAAAAAACTTGAATCTACACTACCAGAGGATGCTTCGACATTAGTTTAATTTTACCTGACTCGACCCAGTGGTTCTTAAGCTCAAGATCTAGTAAATAACTTTAGATTAATTTTTTGGTGCTAGATCCATTATGACGTCATAATCAATTTCAACTTTCTTTTTCCCGTACTTTACGGCTTTAGCACAATTGTGCAGAAAAAAGGTATTTTCATGACATTGAATTTGAAATCATATGGAAAGTAAACCGGATACCTATATTAAATTTGATATTGATTTAAAGAAGAGGCCACGAAGATACTAATTACTGTTTTCCGAAAGACTGTACGCAATTTCGATACATTTCCTCTGTCGAATATGAAAAAAAATCCCATATGCATGACTGTTTTTAATTTTTCATTAAAAAAAGAATGACAGTTTAATATACAGTTTTTAATTTCGTTTACCTACAAATTATGCCCCGAAACACCTTATTTGACCAAGCTAAAGTTGTAAAGTATCAATAAAGGAATTTATTTCTCACATTTGATAAATCTGTAAGCACCTTTCATTTACTAGATCTTGACCTTAAGAGGAATCACGCCTCTAAATATTTACTATATCTTAATTACCCCCCCCCCCCCTTGAAAAAGAGTAGGCACTTCATTTGAAAGAAACTTGAATTGCGTTTGTGGCAAGTGTGGTTGAAACTGTCCCAGTTGTTCTCTAGAAGAAGTCAAAAATGTTAAAAGTTTAAAAGACAGACTGGCAGCTATAGACAGCTAGACGCAGGGACAGACGGGCTACAGACAAAACGTGATCAAAAAACCTCACTTGACTTTCAGCTCATTAAGGCAATTTAGAATAAGATTGGGATCTAAAGAAAGAGATCAATCTTTGAATTTAAAAATGAATAAATGTGTTTACCTAACTAAGTTAAAATAGTAATTTCTTGAATTGAATTATATAATCATTGACTACGTACCTTCTAGCCATCGTAAAACGTATCTAAGCTGAAAGTTACACGAATTTCCATTCTCTATAAAACCTTTTACTTCTTCCAGGCAAATTGATCTACTCAAGAAAATTAATGAAATAACTGGTAATACAATGAACAAATAAAATAGGTTTACAATTGAAATAACCATTCTTCATAGTTTGAGGGCGGGAAAGATAATTAATTTTAAAGTAAAACTTTAAAGAAAAAGATTCGAGCAAACACTTTATCTTGTGAAAAAGACATATAAACCAATTTTGCTCAAATTACACAAAAATATTTTTAAGATTGATCAAATGTTGCAAATCTACCGGCAAGTTAACGATATTTCAAAGTTCCTTTGCTATAAGGTATATACAGTTTTAATTTCAGTCTTCTTTTCGAAACAGGAGATGCTCAAATATAATAAAAATTATGAATATAATACCATTTCGTTCGTTGTTCTAGGTAGATATTATATGGCAGGGATACTGGTGACATAAAGCTGAATTTCATTTTTATTTTCATGGTACACGAACCTCTCTGTTTTAGTTTGTATTTTTTTCATTAATGCAGACATGTTCTAATAGATCGAGAAAAAAAATTGCCACATGTTAACATTTAGGAAAAAAAACCCACTCAAATCCTTATTGAGATGATAAGGTATGCTAAACTTAAGTTATTTCTCTTGTCATTTACTGTTAGTTTCCTCAGATATCCTTAAAGTTCAAGGTTCACCAACTCTGCTCATTTTTTTATATTCCGAGGATTTTTTTTTTTTTTTTTGCTTTCTGTCATTCAAATGATAAACAATGGTTTCTTCCCTTCTTGGTCATTTTGCAAACATATTTTAAACACGTTGAAATGCCGGTAATTAAATGGAACATCAAATTACTTCTTTCATTAGAAGACAATGCTTTTTAAATTTTATTCCTTTATCGAAGTTCGGTGAAGAGCTTATAGATATGCTGATTTGACAGAGACATTTAGTATAAAACTTATATTGGATATGCTGACATTAAAAAAAGAAAACGATGGATTTATGAATCTTCCTTTTGAATAAATGTATAATGTCTGACATATAAAAAGACCAACTTAAAATTATGAAACTGCAACTATTAAGTTCTTCAATCCAAATTTGGTTTCTATGAGGTTTAATCAATCAGAATCTTACCTTGTAAATTTCATTAAAGATACATGTACTTCATGCATTGACAGGAGAAGTATAACTGCATGTAAAAACGCACGAAAACCTGAATGTTAACATAAACATGAAGAACAAAATTTAGTATATGTATAATCAAAATCTAAACAGACGTAAACTTGCTTGAATGATATTGATCAAATACATTTAATAGCTTTTGAAGAAATGAAAGATATATTAATATTCCAGGCATTTTTATGACATCGGTCGACAACAAAAGCATATTTTATTGAGCTGGATTGGACTGTTTCAGTAAAGTGTATAAAACATATGGATTCTCGATCGAAAATTAGGACAATTCATCAGAAGTCATTTCGGTATAACCAAAAAGTAGCCAAAACATAAAACATTTCCTCTAAATTTTATAAAAAGTAAAATAAAACTATTTGTAATTGAGTTTGGAGGTTTTCCTAAAAAAAAATAACTTTCAACATTAATTGCAAGTTACTCTCATACGACCTAAACAGTTCAAAGCCAAAACTATATAAAACACTAATTTACAAATGTATAATTCTGGTCCAAGGCTTTTGACCCCAATCTAATGAAATAATATTTTTTTCAATCATATTCTGTTTGTCACGTCTGCATGTTCGATATCATCATAAATTAACATTTAAGATTTGTTTTCTTATTGTTTATTATTTTAAGAAAAGTTATTATTATGGTCAAGGTTGATTTTTCTTAAAGTACATCAACCTTTGAAGTGATAATGTCCTGAATCTGCGATAAGGTAGTGCTCATGAAACTAAAGACCAGCTTTATTTCTGAGTTATAAAACGTCTGTCGCGAGATCCAAGTATATGTTCTATTCATTAGTTGCCTAATTAACTGAAACCATGACAAACCAATACAATGCATAAACACCCTATACAATCTAATTAAACAATGAAACATATTAAGATAACGAATAGTATTCAAGCTCAAAAGTCCATAAAATAATACAAAATAGGCGCAGAGAAAACACGGCCGTACAAAACATTAGAGGCGGGATCGGGTGAAAAGGACGAATTAGCATCCCCGTCTGGCAGGTCAGATCCGCCGTGTGTTCCTCGATCGTCATGATCGAGAAATAATGGAAAAAGTCCGTCGTCATTACAGGGTGTAAATAATAGACGGACAAATAGTATGAAAAACGTCAGTCAGCATTTGACTCAATGATAAATTGTATTTGATGACAAGGTAGTTGTATCGAACAAAGAACATAGAAGAATATTCAGGGGAAAAAATCTTTATGAATATTCTTCTCAAGAAAAGCTTAGCCTTTATTGTTATTGATATGGAAGCATCCTTAAGTAGTTTCGAATTTAAGCTCTCGACCCTTAATTTAAACTTTTCAATACTGAAATGATATGTGTTTTTTTCTGCCAGTGAGCTCAGTTGAGCGATGAGGGCAATAGTCCTCTTGTTTATTTGATATAACAAACTTCATTTGTATTTCGTGCATTAGGACCCTCCCTCTCTCTCTCTCTCCCACACACACTCACACAGAGAGAAAGAGAGAGAGAGAGAGAATAAAAAGAACAAGATATTCATCTTACCTCGCAATCTTCCAGTCATTGTTCTCGTAAAACATTTATATTAACTTTTCAGAGTCTTTCCTTAAAGTGACTACCGGTATAATATAATGGAGATTTTCAGATAATAACTTTTTCTGACCCGTTTCTTTCTGACGCAGTTCGCCGATTTAAATACAAACAAAGTGAATTAAATCCCACCTGAGTCAAAAATGTTGTAAATGTTTATCCGAAGTCAAAAATATATTTGTACGAACAACTATTTACATTATAGGGTACAGGTGTATCATCAACTTAAAATATGATGCATCAGGATATTACATTGCAAAAAATATCAGTAACTGATGTGAAGAGAAATAAACATCTCATGTCATAGTATAAAAAAATTGTTAAATCAAATTAAGGACTTGATTTCTATAAATGGCGAACTTAACATAAAGCTGTTAGCAAGAAATCAACACACTAAAACTATCAAGTAGAAGTAGGAAAAATTAAATCAAATTTCATTACAGTATGAATGATTTTTAAAATAAGGAAGTTGAGGCGTTGTATACACAAACAACATGCATGTAACGAAAAAAAATGCATGAAAACAATGCACGCTTGAAAAAATATACGAGACTAAATTAGACTTGTGTTTATTTATAATCCTTTTTTCAGAAAAATAAATGATGAAAGGATCTTTCATACATAATTAACGAGGAATGCTCTCAAAAGAAATATGAAAGTGCAACAAGTAAAATGAAATTGTGTTATATATATATACAAACATTGACACAATGCAGGTGACTTCAATATTGAGATTGACTAGTACACTACATCCTTATTCACTTCATTTAGTCAAACATTAACTTTAAAGAACATTTGCTTTAAGACTGATCTACACCTTTCAAGTCAATATTGCCTATAGCTAGTTTTTGTTTTTATTTAAAAAAAGCATTTATATAAATTTGTACATGTGTAACCTCATGATTTTTAATCTAGATCTTCAAATACTTACTTCCTTCTTCTGACTGTTAATCTATCTTGTAAAGGATAATAAAACGGTTATTTGATTAATATTTTTATAGGGATATATATGTACCTGTGTGTACATGTCCGGATCATAAACTGAATACTTTAAAATGGTTTCTATGAAGACAGCCCTTTATATAGATAAAAAAGAGTTTTTGTAAAATTGTAACATGTATGCTGTTGACAGCTCAAGTGAACTTTTCTGATCAAATTTTGTTTGTAGTCTGCCAGGAAAAATTTGAACAATTTCAACTTCTTCTGGTAATAAAGAACCACCGGACCAATTCCAACCAAATTCTAGGGTAAAGCGAATTTAAGTTTCTGGAGATGAAAGACAGTGCCCTCTTCCATGGAGATAATTGAGATTTAATGAACACTTATTGACAACTTTAAAAAATCTTTTTTGAAGAGCCATTAAACCAAGAAAGATAAAAAAATATGGGGAATATCCTCGTGCAATGTACATTGTAGATACAAAATCATGACTCCGGGGGTAGTGTGGGGCCAAAATGGACGAGCACAGATTTACGTTGGAATGCAAAGGAAAAAATATTCATAACCTTCATCATAAACACAGCAATGCTGTAATAATTAGTCATATTTATATTGATATAAATATTAAAATAAATATCCTCAGATAATATAGATTCATGTTTGTTCATATCATAACCAGGGGTGATGGGGTTTACATTTACATGTATGTTTTATTATAATTAAAAACTTTCAATGAAGGATATGGACTTCTTACTTCCCTGATTGCTGTTTTTTTCCTAGGTAAAGTGCCCATGTGAGGAATGTGGCCTATGTTTCTATTATTGGTCATTCTATTTTGTTCTTCAAATCCTTTTGTTTTAATCATATTTAAGAGAAAATCAAAACCATATACTATAGTACATGTATAGTATAAGTTAATTGATTACAAGATATAAGTATTTATCAAGTGACAACCTTTACAGACAGGACATTTTCTAAATAAGTCTACTCCTATGTACTTGAAGTACAACGGATGATGCAATGTTATGGAGATGATTCCAAAATTACTCCCCGTTATTGATTTGCTAAGCTTTCCCTTAAAATTAATACTTTGAAGTTGGTAGTAATTTTGAAAGTTTTGTAATTTATTTATGCATATCATGCACGCAGACAAAGCAATACGAAAATGGCAATTTTGAAATGTTTGCTCAGAGTAATTTTTTTATCTTAGATATTCACCATTGATGCACCAGGAAACATTTTATTATGTTTCATTTGTTGGATCATTGAGTATTGTTCTGTACATTGACATCAAAAATTCTAAATTTTTATGATGAAAAGTTATAGAATAGCAGGAATGCTTAGTTTTAGTTAAACTATTTCTTGGTAGCAGTGACGTTCAATTTGGGTTAACCTATAACTGTTCCTTTGTAGCACAGATCCTAAGTTTTGATTGCATTATACCTAATATATATTTAGCAGACCATGTTTAGTATGGATTTAGTTATAGCTATTCTTCAACGAAATGCTTTTTACCATCGTTTCAGAATGGCATTATATTGTGAGATTTGTTACCTTCATGTACAATCCTATCGTCTTAAATACAAAACCCCAAGACAAATTCAATAAACGCTAAATTGCATTTGGCTTCATCGTTTTGTTGACAAACATCATCTTCGTATTTTAGATTATTTCAATATTGTAAAGAAAGAAGTGGACAAATACGTACTTTGTGATATCAAAAATCGACCTAGAACTAGCCGCCTGATAAAAAGCTTGTGAAGCAAGATAGAAATCTTCTCAGCGTTCGATGTAACATCACTGAGGATGAAGCAAGATACGACGATCATGGAAATGTTTATTGTATTTATTCTATAGCTAGACGCCTTGTTCTCCAAACATTGTTCGGTTTTGAAAAGATCGTTAATAATTACATGTCAATCATCTGCAGAAGAATCAGAATGTTATTTTTTTTTGTCTTTACCAAAACACGGAGTTAATAATTCTGTTAGAAAATTTAACGCATTGTTTTTGCAATGGATGTTATCACCATTTATTGCACTATAATATTATATGATTTTTTTATCTTTAATTTTTTTTTAAATTTGCCTCTAATGATTAAAGAGGTGTGTGTGCTCTGCTCCTGACAAGTATTGTATAAATGGATTTATTTATTAAGCTTGAATAATGCTGATTGTTATATTCATTTTTCGTTCTGACTGAGACAGGCTGTGACGTACTTTATATCAACGTATATTACATTTACTATTTCTTTTCTTCTTAATTCCTTCTACCAAAAGTTTCCAGCACCATTAGGTCTAAGGGGCAAAATTCATTTTCTTTTTCAGAAAAAAAAAACACATTCTTATCAATCAAGTTCAAAATATAAGTTTAGTTTTTAATTCTATATAACAGTATTTTTTGGGGGTTTTTTTGTGAAAAGTGCTACAGACCTATTTAGATTCCACTTTTTACTTTCTATATTGTATGGATAAGACAGCACTTCTTCAGTATCATGTGAACGTACATGTATTTAATGAAGCTGCAAAAGTTTAAAAAGTTTTCGGGAAATATTCTTTGTTAATTGAGTGTTTTACGAATTTACTAAAACTTCATATATTTTCCCCTTATTTTCCGATAAAGACAAGGAGCACAAGGCAAGACAAATAATTGTCCTTTGTGATCGTTGTAATTACAAGGAGTGATGTATTCTCTCTTACTCAATCCTCTTTTTCATAACTGAATGCATTCTCTGTTTACACTTAAAACAATAATCCATCATCCCTACAAGTATTCTGTTAATACATATTAACCACTGCTATTTGAAAAAAGAGGTAAATATCCACTATGTCACTACAAATTCATCAGTTGTTTAATTGCAATACTCTATTAACAAAAGAAATAGGCCGCTAATGCAAGAGCAAATAGTTCATGTCAATTATCTTATTGATATTGATTTTGCAATGTTCCTAATGTTGTGGAGGTCCGTGTTTGCTTTGCTCCTATTTTGTATTGTTTTATGGACTTTTGAAATAGAATACGGTTCGTTATCTCTATAATGTTTATTCTTATTTCATGAAATTGCGCAATAAAATTCAAATCAGTTTTGCAGTCTTGGAGAAATACTGTCATGTTTGTCAAAATACAAGTAATACTTATCTTTGGAACAATTTTGCTTTTCTCAAGATGTTTTTGTCAATCATTTGAAAATGTCACTATTCTTACTAAGTACCTGCTAGATGAAAACAGGAATTTACCGACCATCCGTCCGGTTCAGAACCAGACAAATCCAGTTGAAGTTGTGGTACATTTGCTTCTACACCGGCTTGTCAGCTTTGACGATATACATGGACTCCTTTATATAGTAGGGTCTTTTGGAATTCTGTGGAAAGACGAACTCAAAGTTTGGAATAAGGAGAAATTTGGAATTTCGAAAATCAACTTGAAGGCAAGTGAAGTTTGGACTCCAGATGTAAGACTTGTGAATCAAGGGGGTGAATTACTTAACGTTCGATGTGCCACAGATGAGGACGAAGTAACTTACGACAATAAAGGGAATGCTTATTGTTTCGTTTCGCGGCAATTTGTTTTGTCGTGTTCTCCGAATATGTTCAAGTTTCCCTTCGATGAGAACGTCTCTCCCCTTGACTTTCAATCAACTGCAATAGAGTCGGAAGTAAAATTTATTTCACCAAAATTCGCTGCTGACATTAATTTTCAAGATACTTTTTTGCAATGGAAATTAATGCCGTTGCATTATAATTTGACAACTACTGAAAATTATCATCTTTTCAAGGTTACGTTTTATGTTCTTCTACAGCGTAGTCCCTATTTTGTTCTTATCAATGTTGTGTTTCCAAATTTGGTTTTAGGATTCGTCCATATTCTTGTCTTTTTTCTTCCAGTTGAATCAGGAGAAAGAATAGGGTACTCGATCACAATATATCTAGCAATAGTAGTGTTTATGTCCAATATTTCATCAATTTTACCCCCAACTAGCAATCCGATCAGCGTGTTTAATGTTATGGTATTTTCACAACTTTGTATTTCATCTTGTATTATGGCTTCTGTGATTTTCATTTCTCGAGTGTATTATTTAGAGGATTGTTCACATGTTTCGTGTATTCTCAAGGTCTTTCTCAAGAAAAAAAATACCAAGATTCAAGAAAAAGATACTAATCATCAGAACGCATGCAAAGAAATTGGGAAATCATTGGATAAAGTTATGTTTTATGTTTTTCTCATCTGCATGCTAGCTGAAATAATAATTATTTTTCCTCTCATGAATTATTCTTAAAATGTTTGGCTATTATTATTGACAATTTTTTATAATTAATATAAGTCGCAAACATAACATTAAGATTATTAATGTATATTTCTTGATATTTTAAAAATTGTCTAAAGATTTCTGTAAATTCGTCTGCATTGTTTTTGTATCCCAATAGCCTCAAACATGAATCATACTCATCGTTATATTTTGGACATTGCTCTAGGGATTGATTGTTTTCATGTAAGAATAATTCTAAAAAATAACAAAATCATTTACATTAATTAGATTTTTCCTCATTTAAATGTGGACAATTGCTTCAATATTACACAGTTATTGATTGGTATGAAGACAACATCTTATTTGATAGATTTCAAGGTGATAATGTTGCCCGAGGTCAAGGGCAACATTTTCATCTTCAGGTCCAATGAATCATATGTTTCCCGAATCCAAATCTTAAAAATAACACAGTAGCAAAGAAAGAAAAAAATAGTTTAATTATACTATCAACAGAACGCGTCATAGAACATGTTCTTCCCAGGTCTCTGTCTTTCAAATACTAGTACATGTAGCAGCAATTCTTGCAGCTCTAAACTTCGGCTACTTCCGTGTTGCGGTGTTGAATGAGGATTAATTACTTGCGACGTAGTAATGACGTTGTTGTCAAACCATTCTTATGTTGGACTGGCAGGTCTGTTTACAGTGTAATTGTAAGAACGATGAAAAAACATTCTTCTTCGGATTTTTATAAATAGTAAATATATAGAAATATTTATTTTAAGGGTATAACAACGATATGTTATATCTATTAGAACGTCGTATAGAACATAATATATACTTATCAGGACGACCCAATTTAAGTCGTAAATATTTATTCATAACAAGTACATAAAAACTAAATTTAATCATTTAAAAAACGAATTAATGATCCTTTTATAAATGTCATAAATTTTATTTGCATAAATGAAATATATAGAGAAAACGAACAATATTCAAGCTCAAAAGTCCATAAAAAGGAGCAGAGTAAACATAAACCTCCAAAACATCAGAGGTATGCCAGGGAGAAGTGAGCATTCCCTACTGACCGAACACTTCTGCCGTGTGCTCCTTGTTACATGTATCGGGAAATCATCAGTATGAAAATAATGGATTAACAATTCCTTTGAAAAATGTCAGTCAGCAATTGACTCGATGATAAATTGTTTTTGCTGACAGGGCAATTGTGTCAACCATTGAACCTACGAAAAATGACTTTAATGAGACTCATGATATTCTTGTTTCATGACCCTGTTTGTCAATAGTATATTTCGTCTTAGAAAATGGTCCTACGTAGAGCATGTTCTTGAGTATCGAATAAACTGATATACATTTGTAAATATGAATATAATGTACAACTGTGTATTAAGTAAGACAATACAATCTTATTTGTCAAAGTATTAATAAATACAATTAGTACACTTTCCTGAAATTCAATACTTATCAACAAAGTATTAATCCCCATTCAATAGGATCATCTGCTATATAATAGATTTGCTTCTCTTGAATACATTAACTGAGATTGAAAGTTTCTCATTATAATTCATCACTTCAATTGAATTAATACTTGGCAATTATTTCCCATTTTTCTCCTTCTTTGCTTGTCTCATACGAATGTAAGTTCTCAAATGGGACCTAAAACCATTACCAATCCTTTTCCATTCTTTAAGTTTTCATTCCGAATATTTAATCATAGATGCAACTTACATGTACTATATTTTTTTCAGGTTAACTAAAACACTCTTTATATGCATACATTGTGTGTATATGCATGCAGTAATAGTTCAGCTAAAATTTCCTGTTGGACATTTATAAAACAAATTCGAAATAAATTTTTTATATTAATTTAAGGTAAGCTTTTTGTTTTATTCACACAACATATGGCAATGCTCTTTTTGACACAAATGAAATGCATGTCTGAAATTGAATTGTCCTTTATTAATAAATAAATGATAAATCAATCAAAATATGTCAACACATAGAATGCATAATTCGCATTATCAAACACAAATACATTAGGCAATAGACACACATATAGAAAAAATCATCAAAAAATCTTTATTTCAATGTATTTTGCAATTAGATACGCTTGATGGTACAAAAATACACACTAAACAGAATTCGTATTTCAAAAGTGGGCGATATTCGCCTAACAACAAGTGAGGCATGGAAAAAAAATCCACTGTAAACAGAATGCGTATTTCAAATTAAAAAAAAAAATGTCAAATAGGGGCAACAAGCGCTTGAAAAATCAACAGAAAATATGTTAATTCACACGCAGAGGCAGGGTAGATGGCGGTGTAAAGAATAAATAATGACCCCTGTAGAATAATGACCAGCGGTCGTAATGACTTACTTTCATTTGTTTCATATTTTGATATTTGACTGAATTAAATTAAAGCATCCATAGGTTTATGACAGAAAAGTGATTTGTGCTGATTAAATGGTAAACAATTATTCAGCGTGCTTCGAGAATAGTTTCTGAAAATAAATACGGTAAGTTATGTAATACAATATATATATATATATATATATATATATATATATATATATATATATATATATATATATATATATATATATATATACAGCTCAACAAACTTTTTAAACTCACGTGGTTTTTCGCACAAATTAAGGTCACATTGTTGTAATAAAAATTATCAGTTTCAAACTGCAATACAATGGCATAACAATTCGTTTTATTACATATATAACGTCAAGCATAAATGTCTTTAAAAGTTACATCTTAAGTTGCCAAAGTGGATGTTTTAAAGGAAAATTTATAAATAAATGGTAGGATATTTCGACTATACGATTCTACCATTGATTTTTAAAAATTGCATAAAACAGTTTTCCTTGATCCAATGTAGTTGAAATTTTTAAATTTTCTTCTTAAAGGTAAATTTCTTCTATGAAAAGGAAAATTCTTCTGCATTTACGGTTTGAAACGTTAAAATTTCGGACTAGGATGCATCTTTTATGATTCTAGATTTTAGACGTTGACTCTTAAAAATCCCACCTTATTAACATAGAAAGCAGTCAAACAGATAAAAAATATTATTACCAACCCGAGTAGTCAAAATGTACAGAAAATAAAAGCTACAATAGCTGTACTGTACCCATGTCTTTGTTTCTGCCGAGAGCTATTGCTTTCAAAAGAACGGATAAAAAGACAGTTACAGTTGGCAAGAGACTACAAAAATTCAAATGTGAATTGTTGTTATTTTTCAGCCATGAATATATATCAAAGTTCTACCAATGGATTTCTGTGAATTATGTTTCAGTAAATGAAATAAAACTCAAATTATGTAAAAAAAATATTTTAAAATGTATTTTGTTTTCTCACTACACAATATTATATCAAAACAATGTGACCTTAATTTGTGCGAAAAACCATGTGAGCTTAAAAAGTTTGTTGAGCTGTATATACATAAAATTGGATATGTGAGGTACATGTAGAATGCATAACATTATATCTCGGGCGAAACACAAACTGTGGATTAAAAAATGGCGAAGATGAAGAACAGTGAAGACACTAAAATATACATAAAACAATACAAATCTGTATGCAGATTTTTAAGGTGAGAGCACTTTTTCTACGGGAAAAAGTGTCATTTTTCGACGTCTAATAATTAACAGGGGTCATTTTTTTTTTGCGATTAAATAATGACGTTATATTATACAATGTATATGCAACGTGGGAAAATGAACCGATCATTATTGAATGGGTGCCATTATTCATCCTTACATGAGCATAAATAAATGTAAACTGTTTTCTTCAAGAAATAAATACAGAGGCTTACATTATGATGCGTGTGTGCGCAAAAAAGTTGAGAGAAATAAAATGGACGTCCATGGAGAGTGCCTTGTTAAAGTATAAATAAAAAAAAAATCATACCAAAGAACAATTGGTTTACATAAAAACATAAAATATGTTTTTAGAGTTCAGCGTTTTTTCTCATTTGCTATATGAAAATGATAAAAAAAAATAAATTACCTAATTATTATATGCTTTAAACATTAAATCTAAACATAGCAAAACATAGACATATTCAATGACACTTGCAATGTAGTTTCAAAACATCAAAGTTTGGACATGTATAGTTTAATATGTTGATATACATGCTTAACGCATCAATAACTAATAAAAGTACTGTTTGTCAGTTAATGTAAAAGGAAATTGACAAAAATAAGTATCACCAATTCACATCGAAGAAAATGTAAATTTCCCTGTAGGTATAAATTTTTTCTTTCCTTTCTTTGTCTTCTTGTTATTGAGCCCCATTTCCTCCGTATCAATACTTCCTGAGGTCTGCATTTTCTAAAAAAAAAAAATGATAAGAAATACATTAACAGCATATAACTCAATTAACGAACAACTTTCTTAAAGATTTTTTTAAAAAGAAACAAGCTATGAACATCTTTTTATGACATCTTTTAACTAGACATGTGCGGTGAAGAGATGGTCGTTTTCTAGAAAAAGGAATTTCATTTTTAGCATGCATTTACATTAAACTTTTTCAGCAATATCTTTTATAAACTTAGACAACGTGCTAAGATAATGGTTGATAGATATTTTTGTTTTATATACATCAATGAATTGATAAGGATTTCAAACCGTCATTTCGTAATTCCAGTAATCGAAGGCATTATTGTTTTTGAATCTGTCTTAACTGTAAATGTCAAGTACTAATGCAAAAAAAAAATGTAGTTACCTTTTTGTTCTCTAAAGCAGTTCTTTTGACGCCATCTTTGATTGAAGATAAAATGAAGCAAACATTTTTAACTTTTTCTTCAATATCCCTGTTACACCAATCTCTATCACGGATAATTTTGTTCACTAGTTCATCGAGATACATGTTCTCATCACATAGGCTACCTATGTAATCAGACATATCGCTGTACCTTTTTAAGGTTTCCTCATCTCGTAGATTGTATATTTCTATGAATCTTTCTATATCGCGAATTGTGTCATAGACTTCACTGTAGAACTTCTCTTTAAATATCTCAAACTCTTGAAGCTTTTTTTGATGAGATTCACTGGCTTCATGTTCGCCTTTATTTTCTAGATTTAGATTATTTCTTTTACTATCATTTTTTAGTAAGAGCTGAAATGGGTTATCTTGTATTTCATTATCAACAAAATGTTTGTTCTCTTCAGGACAGGTGATGTTGAATTCCTCTGACAAAACATCGGGTTTCTCATAATCACCGCCATTAACCCTCTCATATAACATGACTTCATTTTTGCTTGTGGTAATATTAACATTACTTTTGAAAGGTATTCCACAAACGTTACAAATTGTTGCGTCCATTTCCAAACAGGTAAATCGCTCTTCAATTTCTGCGTTCTTTTCTCTAGTAATTTGTTTTCTAAGGTGTTTACATAGATCCACAACTTTTCTGTTGAAGATGAAACTTCTCCAAAAACGGATAATGACATTTGCAGCATTGTCATTTCTTGATCCTGTGTTATTTGACTTTGTCTCATCAATACTTTTGTTATCAGAGTCTATTTTTTTCTCTACAATTTTCTGTTCTCTAACATTTGTATCCTCCTCTGCCTTTTCACCAGGGTTTGTTACGTTATCTGATTTCATATCTTTGTTTGACGGAATGCCGTGTTCCTTCTCCGAAACAACATCCCGCATATTTGGAATGTCTAGCAAATTCCCCTTTTTGACTTCATGAACCTGGAATTGCTCATTTTCTTTGCTTCCAAGATATGCTGTTGGATTTTTGACAATTTTAATTGTTTCCTTACTCAGGAAATTTTGTCTGTATTTAGATTCATCAAACAAGGTCTCAAAAAATGAATTCTTATCTTGTGTATATCCAAAACATCTAAGGCTATCATTTTCCCTCTCAAAAACGAGACTCAAAAGAGCATCTTGAAAATTTCCAGGACACGTTTGTTTTTTATCTCTTAAAGTTTTGAAGGTTTCTTTCACCTGCTCAGAAGTATGTTTTTGCCATCTTCCAGAGCAAAGTTTTAAAGCCATTTCCTCTTCTATTTTTTTCGAACCATGGAATCCTCTTCCAAGATTGCAGAAGATAACAAGACTTATAAGAAGTATTCTTTGAGATAAAACATCGAGATCATCGAGTGGAATCTGTCTTTCTCTCAAATTATTTTTCTCCAAGAAAATTATATCAAGTAGACTTGATTTGCTTTCAATACCACAAAGAAGTTTTGAGAGACAAGCAGGAGATTTCAAAAGGTCCTTTTCGTACCTTTTGAGAATCTGTTTATTGCATAACTTTGGAATTAGATCATCTTCCTCAGAAAATGCAAGATACAAAGTCTCTGCGTTTTGTTCAAACGATTTGGGAATGCATACTTCTCTCAACTTTTCCTTTGGCTTAGACAACAGAACAGTTATTGACATAAGCGATATTGTTGTATAAAACTCCAGCCAATATAAAAATAGCCATAAGTGAGAATCCAATTCAATATTCCCTTGGCACAATTCATCGCAAAACTTACAAAAATGTATTAAGCCTTCTATCGGATTTTGGGACCTGAGATGCTCTTGAGAAATAACCATTTCGGTACAAACTGAACTGACAACTGTGCTTTTGCCAATATTTTGTGAAACCAAAAATCCACATTTTTCTATTCTCTTCATCATTGTTACATGGTGCCAATTCACATGTTACGCTTTCTTCTATATCTCTCAAAGCTCTTTCTGGATTATCACATCTTCTTAGGTAAAATATGTCGTAACAAAAAATGTAGCAAAGAAATCTTGGCACATGGTATCTTTTCCAGTCCATTCTCTTTTTGTCAATCAAACTTTGTAAAAAGCGTGTGAGGCATCGATAGAAAAATCGATTTTTTGAATTTCTAATTGTGTCAAGAACTCTTATCCTTTTGCCCGTTTCAATATGTCCGAGTGCAGATATTCCGTTTACTGGAAACATATCTGTAATTAGACGCTGGCACTTTTCAAATGAAATTTGTTTGAGAGACTTGAAATCAACTTTTAAGTCTTGTTTCCTCTTTCCTATTTCTTCAGAGCCCACGCTGATATGCATTTCAAGCTCCACTGACTGTATACCATTTTCCAAGATCTTTATAAACTTATCCATATCCAAGAATTCCTTGAACATTTCAGAAGGCTCACATCTCGCTATATCTAAAGTGTTTTCTAACTTTGTTTTCCACTTTAATCCGTTTTCAATTAGAAACTGGAGGGTACCATTTCTAGCTCTTTCTAAATTGACCTGACAAACATGTTTTGTTTTTTCAATGTCTTCCATTCCTTTCATGTCTAATGCCATTGGTCTCTGGAGTGGATACACAAAACATGTTTTGTCATCAGACGTTCTGTGAAATCCATAATAATCTAACAGTTCAACAAACTGCAGTCTCTCAATGTCATTTATTGGTTTCAATAAGATGTTAAGGGCTTTGAAAAGAGTTTCCATGCCAAGAATGCATTTTGCTATATTTGAATAAACTTTGAGATTAGTATTGCTGGTCATCCAATCCATACATTCTAGTTGACCTGCAAGACTGGGGAATGGTTCACAATTAAGAAAAGCGCCAAAAGCTTTTTTTACAAATTCTTTGTCATTATTAAGTTTACCAACGATAAATGCAGCTCTCCCTGCTAAAATTTTATCTTTCGAATCTTGCATTGCGTAGAATACTTCTTTTAACCTCTGACAAATTTCATTTTTTTCAGTGTCATCTATAACCGTAACATCTTCTATTTTATGAAGTTTAATATTGAAATTAAGAATATGGCACCTATTCCTCAAAATGCTATCTCCTAAATCTTCTGCAATTTCTAAAGCCTCTTCTGCCATTCCTTGCTTCATATAAAAGAACATTCAGAGTACAAAGGATTAGTAATAGAGTTTTTAAGATTAAAACATTGTAATATATGTTTAAAATACTGATAGCAGGTCATCTCAGGTTAAGGGGTAACTGTGTAAAGAATGTATTACATGTAGAATATGATAACGTTGTCATTAAATATGTGATAAAACAATGTAGACCATATAACAGGATGGAGGCTAAAAAGTAGCCAACGTTTATTTTCCAATCAATTATTTTTCGCATTTGATATACATGCATTACCAGGGCTTATGAAATGTATCAATTGATGAAAATTCTTCTATTCAAAGAAAAATATACAAAAATTATTAAGCATATATTTCTGATGTTTTATTTAATCAAACTTGTTTCAAAGGAATTGTACAGTAGTATATGTAGACAACTGATTTGATTTGATGCAGGCGCAGTACTTGAAGTAATGAAATGTAAAATCTCAAAGGGAAAATGTTTACATTTATTATGAGACAATAAAAAAAATCAATTAAATCATCAGCATACAAGAATTACCGATAACCTTGCAAGGATATTCACTAGATTACATGTATTTAGCTAAAACAAATTATATCAATTTCTTATATAATGTGTACTTTTTAGCTAAGTTTAATATTGTACGCTATCATCATATGTTTCATTGAGTCTTGTTGAAGGTTATATTTTCTGAAGTGGGCTATTTCTAAAGTGAATTAATAGTATATTTCTAAAGAACTTCTGATTAAATGTGCCGTTATATATGGACAACATCTGTATAATTTTCATTCTCATTCTGATAATTAATTGATTGTATATTATCTAACGTCCCTCTTGAGAATTTTTCACTCATATGGAGACGTCACCGTATGCCGGTGAAGGGCTTCAAATTTAGACTTATACTCGGCACTCAGGGCCATTGAGCAGTGAGGGTTCTTTATCGTGCCAGCGCCTACCGTGACACGGGACCTACGTTTTTAAGGTCATATCCGAAAGACCCGTGACTTTAACTTCTAGTGCCGAGCGCTTGGCGAAGGAACAGTCACTACTTTTGTTTACGTCTTAGGTATGACGCGGCGCCGCGAACGAGAATCGAACCCAGGTCTCCCGATCACGAAGCGAACGCTCTACCACTAGGCTGATAACTGTGTTTTAAGGTCCGCCCTGTCCCTTTCTCGTGTTTTTAAGCTACGAAAATAACCCTGTCCAAAACTTTCCTTTTAAAACATAAAGATATCTGAAATACAGAGGGCGGACCTTTTCTGATAACTGCGTTTTAAGGTCCGCCCTATTTCTTTCTCTAGTTTATTAATTATAAGCTACGAAAAAAAACTGTCCAAATCTTTCTCTTTATGACATGAAGATAACTGAAATACAGAGAGTGGACCTTTTCTGATAACTTTGTTTTCAGGTCCGCCCTGTCCCTTTCTCGTGTTTTAAAGCTACGAAGCCCTGTCCCTTTCTCGTGTTTTTAAACTACGAAAATAACCCTGTCCAAAACTTTCCCTTTAAAACATACAGATATCTGAAATACAGAGGGCGGACCTTTCCTGATAACTGCGTTTTAAGGTCCGCCCTATTTCTTTCTCTAGTTTTTTAAGCTACGAAAATAAACCCTGTCCAAAAATTTCCCTTTAAAACATAAAGATATCTGAAATACAGAAGGCGGACCTTTTCTGATAACTGCGTTTTAAGGTCCGCCCTGTCCCTTTCTCGTGTTATTAAATTACGAATATAAACCCTGTCCAAAATTTTCCCTTTAAAACATACAGATATCTGATATACAGAGGGCGGACTTTTTCTGATAACTGCGTTTTAAGGTCCGCCCTGTCCCTATCTCGTGTTTTTAAGCTACGAAAATAAACCCTGTCCAAAAATTTCTCTTTAAAACATACAGATATATGAAATACAGAGGGCGGACCTTTTCTGATAACTGCGTTTTAAGGTCCGCCCTATTTCTTTATCTAGTTTATTAAACTACGAAAATAAACTTGTCCAAATCTTTCTCTAACTACGAAAATAAACTTGTCCAAATCTTTCTCTTTATGACATGAAGATAACTGAAATACAGAGAGTGGACCTTTTCTGACAACTTTGTTTTCAGGTCCGCCCTTTCCCTTTCTCGTATTTTTAAGCTACGAAAATAAACCCTGTCCAAAAATTTCCCTTTAAAACATAAAGATATCTGAAATACAGATGGCGGACCTTTTCTGATAACTGCGTTTTAAGGTCCGCCCTATTTCTTTCTCTAGTTTTTTAAGCTACGAAAATAAACCTGTCTAAATCTTTTTTTATGTCATGAAGATATCTGAAATACAGAGGGCGGACCTTTTCTGATAACTGCGTTTAAAGGTCCGCCTTGTTTCTTTCTCTAGTTTCTTAAGGTACGAAAATAAATCCTGTCCAAAAATTTCCCTTCATAACATACAGATCTCTGAAATAGAGAGGACGGATCTTAATGCTGCGCTTAACCCCGTATAAAATTTCCTTTCCAATGAGCAAAGACATCTTTAACCAAAATTATCTAAATGGAATGAAGAGCAGTCATATCCAAATAAAATTATTCAAAAGTTGTTTTTCTGGTTAAGGGTGGTCTTTGGAAACAAATTGTCTTCGTTAGGTGGATACCTCAATATTTATTATATATTCCATACAAACTGGATAGTTTTTATATTTATTATATGAGGGAACTATTAACATTGGCATATCATTGTTGTGTGATTTGGTTATATGCATGTATAAACTAAGATTGTATAACAAAATTTAGGTTAAGCAATGTAATTTAAAAAATCGCTAGTAGTGTAGGCGAAAATGCCTATCAAATGCGCTATGGCTCTTTCTGGGTACTGTTGCAGGCTGGGGTGAGGTTGGGGGGGTCTGCAGAGATTCAAAATTAAAAAATATACTGACACGCAAAAGAAACGCAACAAGCAGTACTCAACAAATGTTTGAATTTTTTATGTAATGATTTCCAAAAAAAGATACAGTAAAGCTAAAAACACTTTTCAGAACATGAGAGATTTGATAAAAATGTTAAATGTGTATCTTTTAATTTACTAAGTAACTTATCACTGTTAAAACACCCCCTCCCAGCCATTAAATTACAAAGTGCAAGACTGCCATAAAAACCAATTGCAACTTCATTTTTACGATACAATAGGTTAATCAATATCGAGATTTGAGCAAAGGAATTATTCTTTGCAATTTTTAAATGCCTGTTTTTCAGATGATTAGGTCGAATTTTCTCTAACTTAGCACATTGTAGTAACTCTTGGACTTCCGCTCCAAGGACTATCATTTATGCAAATGATACATAAGACCCCGTTGAAACGTGATACAGTGTATTTTTGCATCATCAACTCTCCATCATCTTTACGTTGAGATTTTCCAGTTACAGCAATGGAATTGCGTACTTAAGCCATTTTCGAGAAGCCTTAGCATCGTTACGGGAAACGAAAGGTGATTTTATTTTTTGAAATATTGCTGCATTACTTAAGATGAACTGTACAAACCCTTAAAACTCCACAATATTGTCAGATGTTTTGTTAAACATGCAATTTTTTATTTTTGTTAAGTAGGCTGACACTTGACTTCCGGTTATGGTACGAAAATCGTTCAACCGTTAAATTACCGATATTTACCAAATTGAAGATATCCATAATTTTAAGATACAAAATTCTTAACTTTACATAATTATTTTCCCCTAAAGTAGGGTGTTGCGTTTCTTTTGCGTGTCAGTATACTTGATACAAAACATATGAAGAGGGTCAAGTGATGCAATGCTGGATCCAACTGTAAACACATGTATGCTTTATTTTTTTTTTCTATTTTTGAGTATATGGACGAGAACTTATAAAAACTTTCCCCCTCAGGCTTAATCCTTTTCATACAGGCGTAAGATAAATAATTATAAACATTTTTTTCGCAAAAGTCTCCATGTCGGTTATAATAGAAAATAATTAACATTTTTTTCAAAAAGAATAATTAATTTTATAAAATTATACAATCAGCTTAAGTTTTTGGTCTGAGTTGTAAGTTTTTTTGTAAAACAATCCTCTGATGTATATGTTTTCCACATTTGGTGATCTGCTTTAGTCTGAAACTGAACATTACAATCATGTATTTTGTAAGTGTAAATAGAGATCGAATTCAATATAAGGTTATATTTTACACTATCCACAAATAAAGGACCAAAATATGATTATAAATAGAAAACAAAAGGTATATGTAAAGACTACTGGAAACCAGAGAATTACATGTACCCTTTATCGATCTTTCATGTAGTATTAAACTCCACACTTGGGATAAGGAATTTCTTAAAATCATATAAGGCGTTTTTTTTTAAGTTAAGACTAACAATATTAAAAATATCTTTCTTTTATATACAGAAAGAACCGCTGTATTTCATTTCCGACATTTCGTTATTTTTTTTCTGACAATTACTCTTTTTTTCCCGACATTTATTTCTTTTCATTTCCGGAATTTTTGTAGGTACCTCTCCGACTATTTAATGTTTAACAGGTACATGTACGTAGAAAAGGAATTTTGAAAAAAAATTATTATACACAACATTTTTAATATAAAAATTCTGTATACTCTTCTTAAATTCTTAAATTCTGTAAACTGCTTTATAGAATGATATGATATTTTTAAATTATTACAACAAATGAGTCTTCTCAACTATTGTTGATAGAAAATAAAAAATTACCGACGAAAATCAATGTTCCGTGACGAAGCTTAAAAACAATAAATCTGTACTTTGCGGCAACTGTTTTGTGTAATTAGCGTCTTTTTGTGATCATTATCAAATTAAAAAAAAACTGGTTTCACTAAAAAAAACACAAAATATTGGCCAATTGACCTTGAGAAAGGAGGGAGAGCCGTTGGAATGTTGATATCTGGACCATCCTTGCACACGTTTAACTCACTTCTATTTTAGTGTTGAATTGTCCTTGATATTACTTTTAAAAATTAACAACCAGTTTCAAAACCAATTTAAACACAATTTTCTATAGGCTGTGTGTCATTTTTCAGCGCCAATTTATCACAATTTGAAAGTTTTGGCCAAAATTTAACCAAACCGGAATTGACCTTGATCTTCGTCTGAGGCCAAAATTTCGCGTCACACCAGGTTGAGAGAGTGTTAAATTGTCCCGAAATAATCTTAGAAACACAAAAAACCCAATTTCAATCGTATGAAAATGATAAGAAATCGGTGCTCGTGACAGCCTAATATCAACTGAAGCAGTCTGAATCATCCTTAAAGCGAAGCACTTACGTGCTAAACACCCTAAGATATTGACCAAAAGGCATCTGTTTGATGATACTCTGGCAAATTCCCGGATCTGAATCCCATTGAACACATTTGGGATTTCTATAAGGAACGACAAAGCCCCCCCCCCCCTCTTCCACGCAATTTCAAGGGTTTGGAAAGATCTATGCAGTAGGTGTGGCAGCAGATGGGTCAGTCTCCTATTTAGGGGTACATGGGATCCAACAGTAAAGATTGTCTTGTAGTAAAAGAACCAGCGGTGGTCTTACTTCATAGTGAATTTTTTTGTGTGAATTTTCAATTTGAGGGTACATCATTTTCTTGACACTTTGCTTAAAATTCTGAGGAGATACATACATAAAATTTACGCAACAACTAACTTAAATATGCATCATTAACCATGAATTAAAGAAATTATTTATTGTATGCATTTGTTCTAAAAAACTTAAAAAATGTTCGGTGAACACTTAGAAGTTTGGTTCAGTGTATATACATCTGTACATGAAGCACTAAGTCTAGTTAACAGATTTTTTTTCCATTCATTTTGTTCACTAAATAAAATGTCAAAGACTGCGCCGAACTTATGTCCAAGACATTTGATTTACTAAACAGTCTATAATTTATTCTTATTATTAAAATTTTCCATTACCGAAATTTAAATCAATTGTGTTTCATGTGTTAATGGATATCAGAGATTTAAAACAATGACCGATTCTTATTGACTCGGAATTTAAATATCAGACACAGTTTTGATTCAATTAGTTTGAATTTAACTAATAGAAACGTCGGTATATTTAAGTTCAATATCGGTAAAAATTTTAATTTGAACATAAATATCACATCTCATGTAAGTTATTATACGCTTAATCTAGTATTTTTAAATTCTAGCTCAGATTATGATACGCCATTTAGCTATAAATATTCAAATAAAGACTATACGCGATTATACTTATTACAAATGTCGCAGTTTTGAAGTGTACGCATGAATAGTTTGTTCCTTAGCATAATTTATTAATTTAAAAACTTCAAATCTATTGATATATAAAGCTAACACATGACCATTAGGTTCACTGACCATTCAATGACAGCGCCATCTGCCGCGGGCTCTACCTGTGGGTACCTGTCAGGTAAACAAATACGTCACACCCCATTGTTTTATTAGCTATACACACCGACAGATTTCACACCTTGAATCGTACTAATTTACACAAAGTAAATTCTAAGGAAGAACAAACACTTGCACAATAATTGTGGCATTATTTTTAAAGAAATTATGGTCCTAAACGGCTAAGCTCAAAGCACACTAAACGAGTAGATTCTTGTCTAGAGATACGTGTATGTTGTACAAAAAATAAAACACAATAGGGTAAATCCTTAAAACGTAGGGGGACCTTTTCTTATACGGGCCGGACCATTTCTTATAAAAGGCGGACCTAATAAGTTATCGTATTTGGTCCGGCCGGACCTTTAAACGAGAAGGACCAAATATTATGCGACACCGGTCATTCAGATAATTAATCAACCGTTTGAAAAGTGCAGCATCAAAATGGTCGAGATAAGCTGGGGCCCGTTTCACAAACGTTTCCTAAGATATGTTGAAAGACATAACTTAAGATATGCCTAAGTTATAACTTAGGAAGTTCCAAAGATTTGTCACAGCAGTTTCACGAAACAATCTTATCTAAAATTTTTCCTAAGTTGTTTCTTAAGTTGTGTATAATTTAAAGACTAATGAAATACCTCTCCGCTCTGTTAACAACTCTCAGTATGCTAGTATGGGTTATATTTTTAGCTTCAAAAAGGGAGGCGCGGGAGGATTGGAGATTATCCCCACTTTCAAAGGACTTGGACAGAAGTATGTTTTAACTTTGCGAAGTTTGCTGGTAGAACTAAGCATTCACAGACACACCCTTACAAGCCCTCCTCCCTTCCGGGCACCCGATAGTTGTATTTTTTAAACATTGTTCTACGTGTTATAGATTTAATTTATTTTGCTCTTTAAAGGGTATCTAATTGTAAATGAAATTCAAAAATGATTGCTTCTTCGCGAACACATGCACATGTGAAGACATTTTTTAAAAAATATTTGCCAATGACTACTCAACGTTATTCGTGCTGTATAAAGCTTTCTCAAATATATAAAATAAGAATGCCACGCCAGAAAAAAATCCCAAATTCGTGATCACAGATATGAAAATACTAATAGAAGAGGTTAAGAAAGGAAATCTATTGAAATCTCGTGCATAGCTAGCTATACATTGTATTAAGCGGCGAGGAAGACTGGTTGTAATATCATGGTCTGAAGAACTAACGGAGCACAGGTGGGGGGGGGGGGTGTATAATAGTTTTACCGATGTATAGAAAACAAAACTGCGTTATGCTTGATTCCCCTCAATAATAACGTCCTAGAGGAGATTAGATGCAACAATTTTTGGGAGAAACATCTATATATCCGGAGCTTGGTTGGTGGTTCATCAAAAATCATGTACTTATAGAAAGTGGAAAAGGGGTTTCCATTTATCTAAAATATCATATTTCAAATTCAAATTTAATATTAATTAAAATACTAGTAATATATAAAAGAAATATATATACATGTACATGTAGATAAAAAAGAAAAGCATAATGTGTACATGCATGTATAATAATGGATCGAATCATATGCTAGTTTTTTTGTTTACGAAGACGTGCTCTTCAAATGATCGAGAATTATTCCAGCATGTGTACATCTATTTCGCCAGTTCCAGTTTTGTGAACGGGCATTTTTATATACTTTTGACTAATTTTGACACATGTTTGCCAATTATTGAAATCCTAGTACCGAGTAAATTCATGCAAGTAAAACAGTTTTAACCTGGAGAGAACGTAGTCATCCATGTACAAGTAGTCCATTGGATTTTCTCTCCCCAAACACATTATTTCTCTACATAATTAAGAAATCCTGGATATGAAGCCGCAATATTTAGTTTCTTCCTAAGTCATCGATTTACCTGTCCTAAAGTTACGACATAACTTAGGAATATCCTAAGATAAGACGAGGTTAGTGAAACGGATAATTATAAGTAATGAACTTAGGAAAAAGTTCTTTCCTAAGATATAACTTAGTTCGAAGTAGGCTTTGTGAAACGGGCCCCTGGTCTTCAAAATATAGAATCCAGTTATTCTCAGGATTTTTGTTTGGAAAAAAGCATGTGCGAACGAGGTTTGCTTTGACAAATATGCTTTTTGACGAAAAAATCTTAGGTTCTAACAACAGTTTTAAGGGGAAGGGGTAATAATGCTGAAAAATAAGTCAAAAGACGCACGCATGTGTGTATTACCGACGCTACATTGACTCGTTCACGGATAAGTCGAGATAAAATGATTTCTTTCAGTTTTAGAGTGTATGCTCAATTTCTGCATCAAAAAATTGTTTTCTTGGAATAAAAACCTGTATATATGACGTTGTTATGCGTCAATTACACCATTATGGTTGAAATGAAACTGTTACCGTTTTACTCTGACAGCACATTAAATGATACCTTACTAGCTCTTTTAATTCTTTTTTATGAGATCATGGCTTACGATTGGTTGGTATATGTCGAGTAAAGGGGGTGAATTAATTATACAATAACTAGTCGCTTGAGAATCAATATATGGTCGATATGGAGTTCTCATATTTTTGTAACACTTCGAACAGCTCAAGTTCACGAGTGTCAAGTATAAAACTTTTTTTTCTTACTTTCGTATCAAAAACTGTCATTGCATTATGGAATTCGCATTACAATATTACGTGGCTTTAATTCAGTACGCTTTCATAATGGAGTAATTATTATTTGATCAAATTTATATCTTAAATTTCTAAGCATGCTTTAAAATTAATTTTACTTATAATGAGTTGACTTTGCTGTGTAAAAGAAGAATATTGTTACAGCAGGATACACTCACAAAAACACTACTTAATACAAGGTGGTATAATGATAGGCACATTAATAGTGTAGTGGAACGGAAAAACGGTCTTAGGTGTAGTATCTTTAAAACTACTCACAATTCACAAATATTTATCGATGGTGTACATTCGTTAAATAGATTTTTTCCCAAAATATACAAATAAGAACTTCCGCAATTTCATGACATTGAAGAAATGTTAACTCTCAATTATTTAACAATTGCGTCTCTTAAACCACGAAATCATATCACCAAAAATGATGAAAATGTGACCACACATAAACATGGAATTTTACAGTCTGTGAATAGTTGTGACCACACATAAACATGGAATTTTACAGTCTGTGAATAGTTGTTTCGACTGATTTATTTAAAACTAATAAAAATTGAAAAAAAAACATACCAGATGATTTAATGATAGATATTGCCTGCTCAATGCGATCACGCAATGCTAAAAACTCTACTTTTTCATCTAAATCAGGAAGTTGCTGAAGGAATGACATCATTTTATCTACTTTGCCATGCTTGTGATAAAAGTCTGCTGCTTTGTAGCTCAACTGGATTTCTGTTTGATCTTCAGTTGGAGAGTTGTCTAGAAGACGTTTTGGAAGTGGTTCACTGTTTACATCATATGCCTTTGGATTTAAAACATAAATTCGTTTAAACTTGGTGCACACATATGTTTGATGATTATATATGACTATTTTTAGACTCGAAAAGATAAATTATATAATATTTTTTAAATTTTTTTTATTGATCCATTCTAACGGGATTTTAGTATATGCTTAAGGACTCAAAAAAGGTAACATTTACCTACGCAACAGCATATGCATGTTTGAAACAAAGTTTGTTTTAAACTGTTAGATGACATTGGATTTGAGGGAAGTACTTTACCTGTTTTTCAATTCGAAATCTATTTAGGCAATGAACTGCAGATTCAAAGAGTTCAGCGTCACAGAGTAGACTAATTGCCTGCTTATATTTTCCTGCTTGCTCAAGGCATTTGCTTCCTTTCACGGGTAATTGTATCTTCTTGTATATTTCTGCTGCCTTTTCCAACTTGACAAAAACACAGTGAATTATGATGATTCAGAAAAATAGCATTTTTTAAATGAGGACTAGAAATAGTAAATTTAATTGTATTTTTTGTTTATACGAAACTATTCTATTTGAATATTAATTAGGGAATATATATCAGGAATGACTAAAATGCGTGAAAAATGAAAGAATTTTATTCATGTAAACCATAAAATGTCTTTGTTATGAGCTGTGGATCTAAGTCTCATTTAATTTTTGATGTTAAATATTATAGAAAAAAACACAATTTACAGTTACTGATTGATATGTCATAGACATGCAATAATCTGACTTTGTTTCCAATAATGCAGAAATATAAATAGAATAGAGCTTGAAAATCAAATACCTGATTAGTCTTTTCATATAGTTTAGCAGCTGAAGAAAATTCTTTTGAAAGCTCTAAACATCTTCCAGCCATGGATGGAACCTCACAATCAAGGAAGTCATGTGCAGCAGAAAGAAACGTCTCTTTAATTAGTGCTGAATTTCCGTGCATGCTTTAATCAAACAATAATAAAGTTTGTTATATATGACTTAGCACAACATAATATGAGCCCTTCTTATTCATTTAAATATAAGTTTTAGGCTTCTAAGAGACAGAGATTATATAATACTGTGTCCCCTTAATAAGCAGCATATCAGTATTTTGTAGTTCTAAATTATATTTCAAATGCATCTTTTATACACACTGCTCCACAGAAGTGCATATACATGTATACGAGGGTAGTTAGAAAAGTTCGCGGACAAGTTCTATTGTAAGCGTGCCTTTTCCATGAAACCGGTAAAACAAGAAATATACAAAAAGATCTTTATTCGGTTATAACCAATATTTGCTCCCAAAATCTAACTTTGACGGAGAAATATTAAATTATGTTCTTAAACAGGAGGATATATCCTGATTTCAAAGCACTAATTATTTTCAAAAACAATGACGTCATATATTTGAAACGACATTACGAAAATGACGTAAATTGAAAATTACCATGATTTCTTCAGAAAAATGTATATATTACGTCGATATTGTGAGTAAAAGTCACCGAGCGCAGATCTGATCAGGCTCAATATTTTGATATACTATGATAATATTAATGTAATATGTAAATATTATTCCTGAGCAAACTTGCGCTCTATAAATTTTAAAGCTAAAACTGTTGACATTTTGTCCTACTTTTAAGATATGATAGAAAATCGGACTAGTTTGTGACGTCATAAAAAAAACTGTCAATAAACTACTTTGAAACTATAATATATGCTGTTAATATATATTTTTCGTACAATTTATAGAATTCTGCAAATTTCAAGAATTTTTCAAAATTTGACTTTTGTGGGGGCAAATATATGCAATTTATTATACTTCTGTTAAAATGCTTCCTATATAAAGTTCAGAGGGTAAAATAAATATTCTTTATAGTCTGAAAATTTCCCCGCATAGAAAGCTATAACCCGGGGTTTAGTTTTTGCTACCCGCCCCTTGGAAAATTTTCATGCAATTTTTGACGCCAATTTTAATATCCAGCGTTAAATCCATAGCCTGATGATGTCATAATGACTTCAGTAGAACTGTGACGTCATCAGGATTTCAGCTCATTCTTGCAGTATTATCTTACTCCAAAGAAAATTCCAACCTTAGAAATTATAATATACATCAGTATAATAAAACACATATCCCCTGGTTGTGTGTGGGATAGCTCTTTTATCATACCCTTGACAGTAACTATTCCCCGAGGGCAAGCCGTCATTTTGAGAAATTTTGAATTAAATTAAAGAGTCTAAGAGTGTTTTCTAGCCTTTTACAAATGATCAATGCGTTAAAACACAGCCAAAAATCGGAACGTCATTTGACGTCATAGAACACCACACTTCTACAAAATTATGGCAGGAAAATACCTAAAAAGAGACTAAAATGCTACAAGATGTTGCCCAGGAATTTCCTACACTCACAAAAGACAAAAGTTTTCAAATGCTAGTAAATTGATCAGAGTGGAGGCGTTAACATTTTGAATGATTCATTCCATCGATACCTCAATACCCCAGTTACATGTACATGTATCGCTTGGAAATTGTCCCCGTATGATTTTGCATGAGTTTTCATAACTGATCGATTAATTAGAAAGACATTTATTTTAGTGTTGGTTAATCGGACAATTTTAGTAGTCGGTTACTCACTTAAACTTCCGATCGAGTACCTGGTTACTCGGATAATATATTCATATATATCCTTTATCTTATCCTTTTTCATTGGTAGAAGTAAAACTTAAATATATTGTGAATGAACTTTATTTATAAACTTAAAGACACATATGCACGTACTATCTTGAAATAATTTTGATATTAGAATTAAAACATTAATTAAATAAAAAGAAGAAAAATATCGATGCAATGTTTCACGCTATTTTACAATCATGTCAAATCACCTTTTACTCTTGGGCTCCCGGTTTATGTCGCAATCAAGGAGATTAATTATTTACAAATTTGAAGTCACACCCGTACACGAAAACTTCGATTCAAAAAATTTTTACAGATAGCTAATCAGCTAGCTGTTCTTTTAAATTAGTTACAAGGTATATATGTCTTTGGCTGCATATAATTGTTAAATTATTAAATGATGTTTGCAAATAGTTATAACTGGGGTCTTCAAATTTTGTATAGCCTGCTGGCAATCAAAGCTTTGAATTAACTACAAAAACTAATCATAACAAATCAATCTTATCAGTGAACCACTCGATCATTTATATTAAGTCTAACGGTAAAGAAAATTAGAAAAATGTTCATGTATACGCTTATAAACGAATTAACATTTCATTCATTAGTTATTTATTATATAAAGTATATTTTTAGGGAAACCGAATAGCGGTTCGACGGTTAACTGGTTAATCAGGTACTCGTTGCAAACTTTATTTTTAGGATCCGAAACAGCACGAAAAACATGAAAGAAGAAAAGTTTCACGTCCTGATATACATATTTTAATTTTAAAGTAGAAAAAAGACATGAAAAGTCTGAAGAAATGAAAGATTTTTTGAACCACGATAAAGCTTAAGGGGTTGAAATCGGTTTCTCACGTGGTTTAACATCAGGCGATTGCTCCATGCACGTGAATCCCATGACCTCATTGTAAAATCGATGTAAATTTTCAAGATTTTAGTAAATGGACCTGATTTTTGACATACCATTAAACAAAACATAGGAATTTATTCAGACATAGGTCATACTTCACACTTCACAATAGATTTATCGTAAATCAATGTGTCTGCGATCTTTCATAACAACCCCTGTCTATATATTATTCAAAAGTAATAATAACTAGTGCAAACTCGGTTAATTATTGTGTTTTCTGAAGGAATTTTAATATCACTGTCAATATGTATGATTCCTGAAAGAATGCATTTTGTAAACAAACAAGTGCAAATTGTGTTTCAGACCCTAAAACTGAATTGACTTTATACATGTACACACACCGTAAGAGCGGAACAAGCTCGGTACACAATTTGCACAAAACTCTCCACGGATTACATTAGATCGTGTAAATAAAGTAATAACAAGAGGCCCATGGGCCATATCGCTGACCTGAGCACATGGGCTAGTTGAGAAAACACAAAATCAGCTCAGTATTGAAAAGTTTACTTGTTAGGGAGGGGGGGGGTATTACTTGAGAAATTGTCAATATATAAATAAGACATATATGTATAATTTGCCATACATGAGAAGAGATTTAAAGATTTTCCTATATATTTACATGTATATGTAAAGATTCGATTGCCCATAACGGCCTTACCTTACACCCCCCAGGTAGGGGGGGGGTGATTATATGAACAAACTTGAATAAATCTAAATGAGAATGTTTCCATATTTATGTCACCAATCATAGCTTTGCTGATCTTGAAGATTTTTTAAAAGATTTTTCCTATGTATTCCTATGTAACACTTTGATCAGCCATTGTGGCTCCTCCCTATCCTCGGGGGTCATAATTTGAATAAACTTGAATCTACATAACCTGAGGATGGATCCACGTGAGTTTCATCTTTCCTGGTCCAATGGTTTTGAAGAAAAAAGATTTTTCCTAGCATATATTTCCATGTTAAAATTTGTTCGGCAATTGTGGCCCTGCTCTTAACCAAGGGGTCATAATTTGATAAAAATTGAATTTACACTTCCCGAGGATGCCTCCATATAAGTTTCATTTTCCCTGCCACAGTGGTTCTTGATAAGAAGATTTTTAAAACATATCACCACATTTTTACTATTCTTAATTATCTCCCCTTTACCTAAGGATTTTTTGTGTCAAGTTTGGTTGAAATTGGCCCAGTGGCTCTTAAAAAGAAGTCGAAAATGTGAAAAATTAACGTCGACGCCGACGACTACGACAGCTAACGGACAAATTTTGTTCAGAAAAGCTCACTTCATCATCATCATCATAAAACCTATACAAATAACAAGGCACTTTGTTGTTAAGACGGGAACTAAATAATTATACCAAAAGACAAGTTCGTTGCAAAGGAGAGAGCTCGAGGGAGGTCTTCAAGGACTATTTTATCAAGTGCACTAATCAACGATATATAAGTATTTTCTATAGCATTTAATTAATTATTTAAATCTTCCTTGAATAGGAAAACAAGTAAGCATTTATCTGACCACAGATTAATGATATGTAAGTATTTTATGGAGCATTTAGTTACCTATTTAAATCTAATCTGGTAGGGGAAGGATTACCAGTCAGCGATTAACAACTGTTTCCGGTTTTACCTAAGTTACGTACATGTACACATGTTATTAATTTTGAAGATGTTGAATGATCTGGATGACGGGCTGCTGTTTGTTATTTAATTTGGTATCACATATTCTCAACATTTATAAGATATTATAAGAAGATAATTTTGACCCCATTACAATTTCTTACTCTTGTCTGTTCTGTTTACAATATAGTTTGACAAACATTGAAAAAATAAAGGTTTTAGAGCTATCTGTATTAAATAGCAGCCCAATATATACATGTATTCATTAGACATTAAACCAATTACCGCGAAGCAAGTAATGCTTTTTGGTGACTTTTAGCAATTTTCTCCATCCTATGATCATTTCCAAGACGGAAGCACTTCGCAGCAACATCGTAGAGAGACTTCTTCATAAATTCCTCTCCCCGTTGCATCCAATCTTCTGAGCAAGATTCCTCGGCAAACATAAGATCTTCTATAAAAATGATTTTGGAATTAAAATCCCAAAAATATGCATTAATTGATTTTGTTGTCATATTAACAAATCACAGTATTATCATAGTTAAATAAAATACATGGTTTATTCATTTCATTCCACTTGATAAGTAGTTCTCTACGAATTTAAAATAATGCATCAACGAATTTAAAATTATGCATCACTGAACTACTTGTTACATCTCACCACTTGTTTCATGGTCTTTAACTGCTCGTACAAGCTTTCTAGCTTTAAAATATTCAAACATTGGAGCTCGCTTATCCTCGCTTTCATCAAAAATCCAAACATGAACCCTAGCTCTTGTAACTGCTGTGTATAAATGTTTGAGTTCAGAATTGAGAACTTTGTGTTTATTTGGGTTAAAAGACAATGGTCGTGGACGTCCTTCCTCTTCAAAAACACCTGAAGAAAATGTGGAATATGTGAAGAGGAAGACATAAGCATTTGAGTTAAACTCATTTTAGTAATACTAAGAAAAAAAATGAAAACTTACTGTAATCTATTTCATAAAGACTCTCAATATCCTTTCCTCCTTTTTCGTCGTTAGTTTCTGAAAGTCTCATTTTTTCCAAAAAGTCTGTTACTATTCTCCATTCTTTTCCAGCCTATTATAAATAAACATTCCTCAGCTAAAGGACTGGTCAACGTTTTTAATTACAACATTTTGACAGTTATACTTCAAAGATTTTAGGAATTTGAATATTATCATTTTTTTCTAAATTCAATCTTCTCTAATAAAAGAATGTCCAAAAGTGTTATGATTCTACAAGTGAGGGATCTATGAAGCGATAGGATATATTCAGTTCAAAATCCAATAGTCACCTTTAATTAATTATTGTTTAGAGCACCCTTTATTTTGGAAGGATGTCTTTAAGGGTAGAAATTAAAAACTTTGGAAGCACAATACGGATCAAAAACATTTGCTCTTTCATTACAATTTCTCAAGTTTTTATCTATAATCGCAGACAAAGTACAGAAGTTAATCCATACGTCGTAGGTTCGAATCCAATACGAGATGTGGAGACAAGTCCTTTGGATGAGACTGTATAGACCAAGGTCCAGTGTCTCAGCAGGTGTTCGCATGAAAAGGATTTCTTACGTATGAATTAACTTCTGTACTTACATGTAGTGTGTGACTAATGGCCCTTAGTGTCGAGCTAAGGTCCGCACCGGTAAGTAGTTGTTGCGTTTCCATATGAGTAAAAAAAAATTTTTAGAGGGACGGTATTACAATTCTATTTCATGTACTTTTATCTTTCCTTTCAGAATATTTAAGAAAACAAAATATGTATACTCGAAGCTATATCACTGTAAAAAAGAAAGTTGTTTTAATTTCAAGATGTACCTGAGAGTCTTTGAAAAAATTATATAAAAGGATGTCATCAAATTCCAGACCCTTTGCCTCATATATTGTTAGAACTATGCCTTGTTGCAATTCTTCAGGCAAGTTATCTCTTGCATCCTCATTTACGACAAGAACTGCCTGATGAGCACCAAATTCTATGCGAGATGTCGATTGTTTCTTCCCCTTTAAGATTACGGCTAAATCACTTCAAAGAAAAATACAATATTCATGTAATAAAAATATACCTCGATATTAAATTAATACTATGTTCATGACATTATATAGAATTTGGAATATTTTTGTTTTCAGAATAGCAAACGGAATATAAATTATTTTCAAAGAAATTTAACATTACGTAGGAAGAAATAAAAAGTATTAATTAATTCATTTCCATAGAAATATTTTCAGATTGTATTTATTTAAGTAGTTAAAATTAGTTGTGATAATTTTTTCATATATATTCACCTAACATCACATGATTCTAGTAGAATTGGAGCTGGTCCTTGAAATAATCCTTGGTCTTTCTGCAGAACGTCAAATGATTCTGGAAAATATTCCACGAGAACATCTAGAATGCTGGATGCTAGCCACAGTATTCCAGTATGAGATCGATAGTTGTACGTTAATTGGTGAATCTGTGGAATATACAGTATCATGAATATTGATATGGCATTATTCCTCAGTATTTTATATATGTCACACATGTATCGAAAATCCGAGCTATTCCAGATATTCTGTATTTTTAAGTGCTTTTATATGATACAAAGTTTTTTTTCATTAATATTTGTTAAGGTCTAGTCCGTTGTATTTGCTTTTGATCTCTGGTAAAGACTTAACACCGAGGAGTAGATGAGAAAAAAGGTTAAAATAATGAACACATATTCCAAGTTTAATGTGTAACTAAATATTGAGGACAGTAAATGGCATTTCTATCTATTAGCTTTTAAACACCTAATATTGTCCTCAAACTAAGACGAGCTCGTTTTTGATCTCAATCCCTCTTTTCCACTATATATTACTTTGGGAAAAGTGAGACCGAGATCAAAAGTGAGCTTATGGCCCCCAGCTGGTCTGAACTACAAATTGGCTGTTCTTGATTTTTTTTGTTTTTGCGTAAAACAATGCTTACCTTTTCTGGAATTTGGATGTTTGAAGAGGCCTCTTGGTAATTCTTTAATTGATAAAAAAGGGAACGAAGGTCTTTGAAACGAAAGGAGATTCCTCTCATTATACTTTGAGCTGTGTCACCTGTCAAAAACATATCATTTGGGTTTTGACAAATATTCAATAGCAAATAAAGTTCAGCTTGAGTAAAATCCTGTGTCTCATCCACGTAAATTTCTTGAATATTCCAATCGTCCTTTCTACCACGTCCAATCCTTTAAAAAAAAAAAGAAATGCTCTTTTTAAATGGGTAAAATACAAATTCTGATCTTCGATAAAATTGTTTTCTATAAAAAATAGAAGAATATGTAATTTTAAAAAAATGTAAAAACCTTTTGAAAATGTTTCGAACAACATCAGTTTCGTCAAACATGCAATGCTGCTTCAAGTAATGTTTGTATTTCAAGAATATAGCATATATATCCCCGCGTTCCCCTGTAAAATTAGGGGCCTTTTTTCTTCCGTGCTCGATATATTCCTGTTCACTAAGATAACCAAACTCAGTCAACAGAGCTTCATATGATCCTTTGATGAAAGATATAATTTCTGTCCAAATTAGGGATGGATGGTAATATTCGTTGCTTTTGTTTATTCTTGGCCACACAACATTAGAGAATATGGTGAAGTTAACTTCTTTCCGAACATCGGGCTTCTTGGTCATTTCTTCTGCATCATTTTTTAAATTAAAATAATCACCCTCCCAATCGCTTCCATCATCACTCTCACTTTCAGAATTCTCTTCACATTGCTGAAGAAAGCTATGTGAATCATCCTCTTTTGTCCATCCGGGCACTTCAGACTGAAATTATAACAAGTTTTTGTCTCAACTAAAACAAGAAGCACAAGGGTCACATTTCTCTCCTGTGTAACTTCGGCCATCCTACTCTATCAGATCCCCCCTTTATAATACCCATTGTAATCCAACTCTACCTCCAGGGGTCATAATGTAGAGAATATTTTATCTACATAACCCAAGGATGCTTCCACATAAATTAAGTTTCAGTTATTCTGGGTCTGTTATAGTGGATTTTGAGGAGAAGTCTATCAAGGATTTTTCATATAAATTTCTATGTACAACTTGGATTCCCTATTTTGGCCCCGTCCTACACCGGGGAGTCATGATTTGATCTTTTTAAGGTTAACACTACCCCAAGCTGCTTCCACATACTAGTACGTTTTAGCTTTTCTTTCCCAAATATTTTCATAAATATTTCAATGTAAAACTTAGATTCCTTATTGTGGCCCCGTCCTACATATGGGCATCATGATTTTAACAATTTAGAATCTACACTATCCCAGGATGCTTCCGCAAAAATTTTAGCTTCTCTAGCCCAAAGGTTCTTGAGAAGATTTTTCCTATATATTTCAATGTTAAACTTCGATTCCCTATTGTGGCCCCGCCCTACACCGGAGATGTTGATTTTAATAATTCAGAATCTACGCTACCTAGCTAAGGGTGATTCCACGTAAGTTTTAGATTTTCTGGCTCAGTTTTTCTTGAGAATGCTTTCACATAAGTTTCAGCTTTTCTGGCCCGATGGTTCTTGAGAAGATTTCTTAAGATTATTCATATATACTATTATGTAAAAAATGGATTTGCTATTGTGGTCCAGTTCCACCCCAGGGAGTGCTGATTTTAAGAATTTTAGCTCTATATTACCACAGGATGCTTCTTCATACGTGTCAGATTTTCTGGCCCGTGGTTTTCGAGGAGAACATTTTGTTAATGACCCCATCCTATTTTTGTCTTCTTTTGATTATTTCCCCTCGATTAAATTAACAATTTAAACTCCAATTTCCCGAAGGATGCTTTGTACCAGGTTTTGTTTAATTTGGCACAAACGATCTTGACAAGATGTGGAAAGTTTACACACGGACGATAAAACAGACAGGTACGGACTGACGGGTGGACAATGGATGATCAGAAAAGCTCACTTAAACTCAGATGAGCTAAAAAAAAAACAGTTCTTCTTGAAAAATCAATAAAAACATGTTTAAGAAATTAGATTCCAAATGAAAAAAAAAACAACAAAATACTACTTTCTCCTCACAATAAAATATAAGAAGATAAAAACAAAATACCTTTGCAACACACGAAATTGCATAATCAATAGTAAAGGTATTGTTGCAATATATTGTATGCGTGCACATGGCATGTACAGGAAAATCTGCAAAAGTGAACTAGTACTAGTGTACCGTAACACAAATAGCAGAAATCTGTATTTCAATCAATTTATTTGAATAAACGACTTTGTAAAATTTTTCAGGAAAATTTTATACACAATGTTCATTAAAAATGAAATGAAAAGAGCTATTTTATCATCCTAATTATTCTTGATCTTTTTGGTATTTTTTCTCACAGGACTTTTACGAGAAGCACTGACTTTTAACAGTTGACGATATACTTGGACATTTAAATCTTTATAGATGGAGGACCTGGTGCATTATTGATAATAGATAAGAAAACCTTTCTTATGGTCATAGGTATTGTTTTAGGGGCACTTAGATGTGAAGTTAGAGAGTTTAGGGTAGAGTGATTGTCGTTTCCGTCAAGTACAATTTATATGTGCATTGAAAAAATCCGTTATCTTCGTTGAAAAAAAATGTTGAGTTATATATTTCTTTCGTAAAAGCGTTTCCGTACATTGTTCTAGTGTAAAAGTAAGCCGTTAACTGTAAAAGTCAGCGCTCTTCGTAAAGGTCCATTACGATACCACTAAATAATGGTTTCCGCATTTAAGTATATCTTTATAATATAAGTAAATTCAATCTATTGATTTATGTCGGAGAAAATCAGTTTTCCTTTTGCTGCGCCTATTTCCTTTTCTTAATCAAAATACGTTAAACTATTTTTTAACTCTTTTGAGAATTACATGGATGAAATACATGTATATGGAGATAACAAACCGCTCAAAAGTTTATTAAAACATAGAAAATATGGGGCAAAGCAAACAAGGACCTCTTAAATATCAATGGTTTCGCAGATACGATAAGGCTTCCCAGAGAATATTGTAGTGTACTCCGTGCATGCACTTCTTTTGAACTACAAATGTATGACGTCATAATTGAAAATGACGTCAAGTAACTGCATACTTGAGCTGTAAAGATGGGGAGAGTGTCATGAACTTTACGCCTCATTTCAATCTGCATATATAAAGATGCAGAATGCTAGTTTAAGATAAACGTGTTTTTATCATATTTTAAAAATATTATTATAACCGAATAATTTATATAACTTTGCGTTATTACTCTTGTTTAAGAGTCAGCGTGTTCAAACTCATACGAAAATATACGTTTGACATTAACCCATTTTAAAACCCGTGGACAGAGCGGAATTCATAATATGTGTATAAAAGAGCCTGGCTACGGTGATTAATGAGGATTTATCTTTTGTGGAAATATGTAAGAGGAGTTTCCCCTCTACATGTAACCGAATCCTACTTGGGAAAAATGTATGATGGCTTTGTTATAAAACAGATGACGATATTCAGCAGAAAATACTCTCAGAGGTATTTTCACACCCTTGTCGTTAAGTTGAAGTTAAAGTGAAATAAATTGTACCAAAGAAATAGTATAACTTTTCACAAGCACATTTCGGGTTCACAAGGATCCAACGAGTTTATTTATGTGACAAAAAGTTAATAATAATTGTGTTAATAACCTGCGCCGAAGTGATTTATGTGATACATTTCAAAAATAAGAAATGACCGTCAAGTGATCTACATAGTCATGTGATATCGTAACAAATATGTTTACATATAGCCTAGAGAACTTCATATATATATTTTTGGCGTACCTAAGTACATAACTTAAAAATAAAGCTTAAAATCAACTTTACAATGCAGTGTTACGTTTTAAATGCATTTTTAGCTCCGGGAAGCCTTAATTAACAGTACAGCGTTGATCAGGTACCATGGTATTAACGTTTTATCATGCATATGCTATCCATGTATGAAAGTGAGATACATGAATAATCAGAACGTTTCTAATGCTAAGAATCATACATACTAAGAGATTTCCAGATGAATCACGTTTAAAAAATGAATCTGGAAGAGATGCATCCAACATAAGCAAAAGCTTCCTAGACGTTGTAAAAACAGGGAACTGGTCGTTCTGAAGATCCTGGAGCTTTGCTGGGAGAGGACGTTCATCATTTGTTACACGTTTAGATCCTATCCTGCTGGCATTTCGTAATTCACGGAAACATTTTTGAACTTCATTGCAAAGAACCATATTTTTGGTGATAAACAATTGTCGTATATGGTTGTATTCAATATTATCTTCAGTGGCTTCCTCATCATGATTTCCTTTAATAAAAATAATATATACGATTTAATCATATTATGTTATAGAGAAAGAAAGAAGTAAAAAGAAAGTAACAGGGGTAAACCTTCGTTTTTCTTTTGCTCAACCTCCTTTCTCCAATGACAGTCAAATCGATTCCAGAGTCTATACAGACAACATGTTGTTTTTCCCGTTCCACTCCTCCCTAGCAACAAGATCGGTTTGTTTGAAATTATATTTATCACAGAATGCTCCTTTTCTGTTACTTTGAATGGAAAATCTTTTTTACAATTCATGTTTCTCATGGCACATTGTGCCATGTCTGTTGTGAATGAGTAAAATTTAAGAATGTGATATTCTGTAGCAATGTGACTTGCAGGAAATAATAACTTTTTTACTTCTTCTGTTTGCGAAAAGGATTTTGAGCATTGAAAATATTTTCGTGGAATTCTTTTTCCTTCTACAAATTTTTCCTGGAGTTTTTCAGGGCATGATACAAAATTTTCAATAATACACTCTTCTCCCCTTAAAATGGATTTTGATATTCTTTGAAATGCCTCTTCTTTTTCTTCCGGATGTTCAATAATATCCCACACTCGTATGATCTCTGTGTATACATTTCGGGATTTTCCATCACTTTCTGACAGTTTCGCTGAAAAGCTGACAGCTATTTCCCATAAAAGAGGAGTTGACTCGTAGATTTCTATTTCCTCATCTATCGTTTGACAGCAGTTGAAAGAAAATTCACCGCAAGCTAGGTTTTGTAATTTTTGGATGACATGTATCGTCCAGCTTTTCGGCAAAGATGGATTGAGTAATTTACTCCAAACTTCGTTTGTACATTCGATCTCCCATTCATGATTTTCAAAAAAATCTGGATCAATCTAAATAAAATATTTTGTATAGAAATTTATGTGCATAGTCTTTTTCTTTCAATATTTAAAAATGGAATCATGAAATTATTTTAAAAGATACATATAAGTCTTATTTTGCTGCGGAGCTAAATAGACTTACTTGAAATTTAGTTCCTTCATTCAAAGTATAATTGAAGTATATCTTGGAGGTTGATGATTCCTAATAATATAATGTTTTTAATCATTATATTTTATAAACATTCTGCATTTTCATTAATCAAGAGAGTAAATCTATATATACATCCCAAATGCCCCCCCCCCCCCACACACACACCAAAAAAAATCATAGTATAAAACGGATTAACTGCAAAATTGTTGCATCAGTATTAATAGCTGAAAAACACCTCGCAATTTCATTAAATCAGATTAAAGGGTCCGATTGATCCCTATGATATTATTATTCAAGAATAATATAAACTAAATATTACCTTTTGACTCTCCTCTAGATTATGTGAACTACATTCTTGTTGTTTTGAAATTGAATTGCATGGTTCATTGTTTCTCAATCCATCTTCAGAATACATGCTTATATCTTGTAAATCTTCGATCATTCGTCTGATTTCTTCCATCAGTTTGTCTTTCTTCAATGGTACGTCATGCACTAGCGGTTCAGATTTAGACTTCTTATGTGTAGTCTTTTGTTCGTTCACGGAATTTTCAAGCTCGTCATTTTTAGCTCTCTGTGGCTTCGCTCCCTTTAATGCTAATCTGAAATACTATAAAAGTGAAACAATTTTAAATGTGAGCAATATTCCAGAAGCACCAAACACAGAGGTTTTCATATATATAACATACTCATCATTTGAAAAATTGCTTCATTTTGGTAAAAGGTCTTGATGAGGAGAGCTTACTGTGTTTTTATTATCATTGATCAAACATTTACCCAGACAAATATGAATAATTTGATCTCCATTCAAACAGACCAATTTGCCCAACACTGGGACCTGAGTCCTGTAGTTATCTTGCATTTTTTTTATTAATTGATTTTTTTGTTTACACTTATTTGTTTATAAAGGTAAATTTTCATCGTAAAGTAATTTGTGGTGGACTCATGCAAAAGGAAACATATTATGCAAACTTTGTTACACGGATAAATGCTTATTTGAATCATCCTAGCACTTTTTCCGATGTAAAGAAACATGAATTCAGAAACAAATTGGTTTTCAAAGGCCAGAACAGAAATTGGAATCGAAGACACTGCCTGTATAAAAAGAATCGACTAAATCGGTCTGCTTTTTTTAATGAATGTAAATATACCATTTAAGACACTAACAATAAATTTGAATTCTTAGTGATCTAATTTCTTATGGTTATTGTACTTACTGGCATTCTTTTATCTTTGTCACTCTTTAAGTATTCTATAGGCAGTTTTTCTTCATGATCTTTAATGTTTGAATGAACTCCCTTTTCACATAGCATAATTGTGACTTCTAAAGTACTTGGATTGTTTTTTGCCTTTGCAACAACATGAAACAAGCTTTCGCCAAAAAGATTTTCTGCCATAGGATTTAACATTGGATACTTTTCCGGATGTTTTTGAAAAGTATCTAAAAATCTTGCCAACAATGACGTATTTCCTGAAAAGTAATTTATACAGCTATATGTAAAAAAAAAAAAAATAGATTTCACTGGAGCTTTTATTTTAAACTTTATTTTCTAAATTAATGTTTCAAATGTTTAACTTCATTTTTGAATACAAGGTTTTCTTGAAATACTTATTGTCAAAATATTTTATTTTCTACAATGTCATGTAGCTCTTAAAGAGGTGATCAAGAAAAGCTTAGATGCACATACTGTGTTTCAACAAAGATAAAAAGTTACCTGTGTCTCTGTCTAATGCTATATAAAGAGCAGCATGTATAGGAGTGTCTCCTTCCTCTACAGAAAGATGACTAGGATTTGCGTTGAAATCAAATAACCGATCCAAAATTTTAAAATGGTTGTTCTGAACCACTGTTTCAATTGCATGTTTTCCATCTAGAATTGAAAATTTAAATTTCAGTCTTTTGATGAAATGTGGTTTTTAAGTTTGGAGACAGGCTTAGGGTATGCTTAATATTACCTGAGAGCAGAGAAGCACCACTGCGCAACATGTTTGTTACAACTGTCAACAGTAAATCTTCCTTGTTCTGAAAGGTTTTACAGTTCAACACCTGTTCCACAGACATTCCAGCAGCAAAATCATTCAAATCTGATGGCGAATGGTATTTTCTGTACTCAGTGACGGCAATATGCATTTGTTTCCAATGTTCTTTATCAGCAAGACCATGCACAATTCTTAAAAATATCTTCTGGTTTATCCTTGTTAGTTTTTCAGGAATATCTGTCCATGAAAAGAAAAGATGAGACTTACATCAACAAACCGATACAAACAAAGGCAGTTCAAATGCTCAAACAGAATGAAAATAACTTACCTGGATTTTCTTTACCTCCTAACGCATTCACAATCAGTTGAACACTTTCGTCTTCAAATTGCTTGTGCATATCTGATTTATGTCTGGTTGCATTAAAAATATTAATCAAATCGTAACATGCAAGGCGCAGTTCGTTTGATTTTAATTTTTCCTTTGCAAATTCTAATCCAGCTTTACATCTTAAAGTACATTGTTTGAGACTTACAGCTTCATTTTCTCTCTCCTTTCTACAATGAAAGGATTAAGTAGTTTGTATCATGTTAATTAAAATGTTTTATTACATCAAGATATGCAGAAAAACATGACTAAGGTCTACAAATGTGAAAAAATCTCTAAAAATACCTCAATTCCTTCTCAATTCTTAGTTGTTCTAGGTGTTTCTTTTTGTCTGTCTCCATTTGCTTTCGTAACATCAGACTTTTTTGTTTATCTTCCTCTTCCTTTTCCCTAATTTTTGCTTGTTTTTGCACTTCTAAATAATCAGTTACATGGAAAAATTTACACAGAGAAGAGAACCACATAAAAATGAATATCCAAGACTGCAAAATTATATGAATTTTGTATTGAATGTGAACTTACCGCATGATTTTACGAGATCTAAAAGTTCAGGAAAGGATCTTGGTGCACATTTCGATACAGTCTTTTTCTGCTTATTCAAAATTAGAGGATTAACATCCGCTATTAGCAGTCTTTGAACTACTTGCATTTGAACTCCACGGTGTACATGAAATGTCCTCTGGTTAACAGCAAGGTGAAGAACAGTATTTCCATGTGAATCTTGGATATTTTGTTCTCTTTTCCTAACTAATGGATAAATAATTTTGTCGAGGAAGGTCATGTACCCTATGATTTGAATAAAATGAGACACATTATTATCAACATTTACTAAATAAAGCGTGATAATCTTTTTAAGCCCTCGTAAACGAAGTTTCGGGGGAATATAGTTATGCCCTCGTTGACGAAGTTTCGTATATAGTTTTTGTAGTGTCCGTCTGTCTGTTTCTCTGTCTGTCTCTTTGTCTCTCTGTTTGTGTGTTTGTCCGCAAAATTTTTAACCTTGCCCATAACTTTTAATTTAGTGGAGCTATGACTTTCATATTTCACATGTGTATTTCTTGTGACAAGACCTTTATTTTGGGAACCACCTAATTTGACCTTCTAACCTTGACCTTGGAGTTTGACCCACTTAAAAACAAATATTTTAAATTTTTACTTTGGCCATAACTTTTTAACAGTAGATACTAGGACTTTTATAATTCGCATATATATTCTTTATGACAAGACATTTAATTGGATAACACGAACCTTGACCTTTTGACCTTGACCTTGGAGGGTTACGTACTAATGAAAAATCATTAACCTTAGCAATAACTTTGAACGGTAAAGAAAAGGCCAGGGCTTTCATACTTTACATATTTAATCCTTGTAAGAAGATGCTTCATTGTATACTAAGAGCTTTGACCCTTTGACCTTGGAGTTAGACCTACTTTTAAAAAACAAACATTGACCAAATCTTTTAAAGGGTCAGACCTAGTGCTTTTATATTCATGCATTTAATTCTTGTGAAAAGACCTTTCATTTGATATCATGATCTTTGACCCTTTTGACCTTGACCTTAGAGTTTGACCTACTTTTGAATTTTTTTTACCCTTGACCCTAACTTTTGAACGGGTCGGGCTAGAGCTTCCATACTTCACAAATGTATTTTTTATGGAAAGACCTTTCATTGGAAACCAATTACTATGACCCTCTGACCTTGACCTTGGAGATTTCCGGACTATGAAAATACTTTAAACTTTGCAATAACTTTTGAACTGTCAGGGCTAGGGCTTCCATACTTCATAAATGTATCCTTTGTGACATATCCTTTTATTATATACCAATAACCTTGACCTTTTGACCTTTACTTTCAGATTTCCGGACTTATAAAAAAGTATTTACCTTGGTAATAACTTTTCAAGAATGAGGGCTAGGGCTTTCATACTTCACGTATGTAATTCTTGTGACAAGACCTTTCATTCAATACCAATAACCTTGACCTTCTGACCTTGATCTTGGAATTTTATTTACTTTTAAAATCTTTTAACCATTATCATTACTTTCGAATGGTAAGAGCTAAGGCTTCCATACATCACCCATGTCTTCTTTGTTGAAATACCTTTCATTGGATACCAATTATATTGACCTTCTGACCTTAATCTTGATGATTTCCGTACTTTTGAAAAAACTTTAATCTGGCCATAGTTGGGAACAGATGGTAATAGGGCTTTCATGTTTCACAATTATATTTCCAGTTAAGAGACCCTACTTTGGGTACCAATATATTAAATTTCGTATTTAAGAAAAAAGTTTTATCTTCACTATGTTGCCATACGGGGTCATCAATGTTTCACAAACACATTTTGATGTATTAGAAATTAGATACTAATACAAGTCTTTTTTTTCCATATTACACAAATTCATTTGTTGTTTATTCTAGCTACTATTCCAGCTAAAAACTTTTATCTGAATTTTTTTGTAATATTTGCAGTAATAAAAAGGCCCTAAGATAAATGTGGTACACTTATGAGGATACCTTTTCTAAATAACGCATTATTATTTTGATTTTTCGAAATAATGTAATTTATATTTTGCACAAACCAGTTGCCAATGTAAGTCTGACGCATGTGTGAAAGAATGATTCGCCTTTTTCTATAACCATTGTATGATAGTTGCTTCCATTATCCAGTAATTCCATTATTAATTGAACAACCCAAGGATGTTTTTGCACTTTGTTTATGTTGCAAAGTATTTTGAGATCAAATGAATATTTGTATCCTTCGACCCAGGTTGATATATCCATGTATACATTTTCTGCTGCACACCATTCGTCGTTTTGGATTAGTCTATATAGAGCTTTCATCCAGTCACATTTGCAAAAGCGCTCCAAGCCTCGAACATCAAAGAAATCAATTTCTACAAATGAAATAAAAACTCGATATTTATAATGATATTAGATTTTAAAACGCCAAAAATGTAGACAATATTTAATCTATATACAATAAAAGATTAATAAAAAATAATTTTTTCTTATACCCTATACAAGAAATTGTATTAATAATTAATTTGATTTTTATTTTTTATAATTTTACATTGAAAAAGAATGTTTATTATTTTGTTAAATCGAAAAGAGGCTTAATACGAGCAAGTTTCAAAAATGAGGAACTCATGTGTACTGTAACAAGTTTTAATAAAAATAAGTCAAATTTATTTTTAGGGGGTAAAATAATTCAGGCATTTGTTCACAAAGAAGAAAAAATATAAGGATAGTGAAGAAGACAAAATAGCATTGATCATGTACAGTTCTTTGTATTCCTTGATGACAGAACAGCTTGAGAATGCAGAGGAAAAGGAGAGCAGATGAAAATGCTTTTGTATTCGGTCTTCAATAAGTGAGTTGATAAAACCTAAATTAAGTGTACCTTGTCCTTTTTAAATGTTTGTATGTTGTTGGATTTCTTATTCGATTTTTTACTTGTTAGAATAACGTCCCCATATCCATATCAATTAAATGGCAACCCCAATTTCACACGCGAAAGCGGGGGGACATTAAATCTCATTTGTCTGTCCGTCTATCAATCAGTCAGTTAGCCTGTTACAAAAACTTTATTATATATTTGTCATAACTTTTGAATGAAAAGAGGTAGGACTTTCATATTCACCTTATTGTACATTTCCCCTAACACACTTTGCTTCTTAGTCGTAAGTCTAACGCGGCTCATGAAAATCGCACCGGCCTTCCAAATCATTTTGGGAATCACCGATCAGTGCAGCGCCTCTTAACAACGCAAGATTTAGGCAACGGTTAGGAAAACAGCACAAATTGGTAATGACTCACAATTAGTAACACGCTGATATCATAGTATTTATATCTCAGCATGTATATATGGACTTTATTTGCAATAAATGAACCCCTTTTCAATATATTTTTCAAACTTCGTACATTATATAATACTGCTACATTTTACATACCGTCCTCCTCACAAACAGCATAGGCGCTGGCAATTTCAAACAATAGATCATCCAGATTTACATTGGTCAAACTATTGGAGAGATTATAGGCATCAATAAAATGGAAAAACGCCTCTTTATACCGCTGTAGACCAGCAAACGATTTTCCAAGTCTTACCTTGGCCTAAAAGTTTGAGAAAAAATATTATCGTTATATATTATAACAGGTGCAGCTTATTAAATATAAAAGTAGATATAATTATCATAATCGTTAAAAAGATGTATTTTGTTTACCTGGTAAGACTTTTCAATGAATGCCTTGAATTGTTCAGCTTCTTCGATAACCTTTAAGTGTTGACCAAGATCAAGAAAGCAATCTGATATCTTGCAAAATAGGTTTACTTTTTCTGCGTTGCTGGCAGCATTCATATGATTCTTTGCTTTTTTATAAGATTCCAAAGCAGGTTTTAGCTTCTTTGCTTTCAATGCCCTGTCACCTTCATTTCTATGAAGATTAAATTCAGTTTTGTCTGATGATTTGCTCAGTGATTTCGACGAGTGATGATGTTCTTCATTTTTCATATCCTGACTATCTGAAAGTGAGGGCTTTAAATCAACCTTTGCAGCTTTATTGTCTTCACTTTTAAGCCTGTTTTGGTCGTCTTTAGAGTCGCGCTTGTCTTTGTTTTCGCAAACAGTGTCCTCGTTTTGTTCTACGAGGGGCTGTAGAGAATTATCTCTTTCTGTAAATACATAAGCCTAATTTGTTTTAAGAATGTTGAGGTACAAATACAGCTATAAAAGGGAAAAAGAACGCTTTGGTATTCATATAGAGAAACATAAAAACATGCATTTTAAATGTTTTTGATACCATTTTATACTCTATAGATAAACTCTGCAAATCATTTAACTTCCAAAAACAATAGAATCTGATTTGCAAATCGTCACTTGTCTGTTATGTCTGAGCTTCTACAGATCGTCTTGTTCTGGCCAATTTAATTCACAATAACATTTTGCGTAGGCTAAAACACATTCGTTAAGGTTGTAAAGGTTGTAAAGCTTCGTTTAAATTGTAAAAAAGAAACGAAATTGAAGAGAACGACATACTAGGTAAAACAAGTTAAGATTTTAAATTTTACGTTTTGTAAATAAAAAACAATTCATTCGATACCACAATATTATATGATATATGATTCCAAATTTCATTAGGTATTGGATTAGCGAGTAATAACCTCTTATTCCTTCTGAAAGGAGCTGAATAACCTTTGAATCTCTACATTTATCAACATAGTCTACAGCCATCTTTCCCTTTGCATCTCTTAGATCAGGTGAAACTCCCATTTGAAGAAGTTTTTGCACAACCTCAGGAAATGTGGCAAATTGAGATGGATTAGGCACTTTCACGACAGAATGCAGCGGAGAATTTCCGTTCTGATCTATCATTTCCAGTGGAACTTTTTCCATGCATAGGAGCATTGATGTATTCCCTAGGAATATGAGGGGAAATTTTTTTTATGACTTGAATAATTCTGTAAATTGTAAAACATATTAATGTTGCATTAGAGAAAACCTTGCTTTTTTCGCAAATTTTTATTTATAATAGTTTTTTTAATCATTCGTTTGTTTTCGTATCTTTTATGAATTGTTATAACTATTCAGCCGCTTGGGGAATACGTTAGAAGAAGAGCGTCATATAAAGTTATTCAAAAAATATCAAATTTAAAGACAAAGTCTTTGCCAAATGATAGTTGACAGCTTTAGATATCACATATAAATATTGACTAATATCTGATGGTTATTTTGTTGACTTCCAGCCTCTTTCACTTCCTGAAAATTTTGAAATTTTGAACAGGGAAAAAGGATATTTAGTCTGGTCCTGATTTTTAAAAAGAAGGCTTGAAATAACTTCTAACGGCAAATAATTATTATTTGGTCCAGCATAGTTTTTTAACCTATTTAAAGTATACTGAATCCGAAAAAATATGCTGGCCTTCATGAAAATAGCGTTAAACAGGTCAGAATGGCGATTCAAAATGGCGGACATCCAATTTTTCTAATTTTCTTTTAATGTAGTTCAAAAAGGAGAAATAATGCGTGAATATCTCACTGAGTGTAATACAAGTATAAAAATGATAATAGAATGCTAACATTATAAGTTAAACTCAGAAAATTTAGTCGTTTCTACACTTAATTCGAATTTTCTCTGATTTTTTTGTCTATTGTTTCTATATTCCGCTTTGCTTAGGATTTTACATTTGCAAATATCCATACACTGCAGATTTGTATTTTTCCCTCTACATCTCACTATTCTACAACTGAATGATGGTGCAGCTGTTAGTTAAAAGTCAAAATGGCGATTCAAAATGGCGGATATTCATCTTTTTCTTCAAATTATTTAATTCTTAATGTCGTTTACATAGGAGGAAGGATTAGTGAATATTTTACTGAGCGTAGCACAACTATGTAAAATAACAACAGAACACCAATTTGATCACTTTAAATCGGAAAATTTAGTCGTTTAAATTTAATGTGTTAATTAGCTCAAAATGGCAATGACGTCTTATACACTCGAATTTCGCAAAATACCCAAACTGCTTAATTCTGGATCGTTTTGCAGAAAATTAATTACAATTTGTTTGTTTTTTTTTTTTATTATTCATGAAATAATGTTCAGATATGCAATGAAAGTTGGGGGATATTTTTGTTAATGACTTAGGATTTTCATAACACGCATTTTTGTTTAATTACATGACGACAACTCCGAAGACATTTTACCTTTTACCTGTATCACCATGCTTCTGCATATAAAAAGTTAATAATGTCAAACAATTATTGCTGTTTTGAGGACAATATGAAAATTAAGCTACCCCAAGAGCAGTATCCCCCGAGCATTAAGGCGAGTGAACATTCAGTTGTTGGAAATTATTGATCTATTTTTAGTCCAGTATAGAAAAAATATAAATGTTTATGTTCACGTGGAAGGTCGTGTGCAACATAACTTAGTATGCTTTTTAAAATGATTGACCACGACCATTTATAGGGCTAGTAATTGTTACATCATATAAATCTGAATACATTATAATATCCAAATATAAACATATATATTAAGAATTATCAGTATAATATACATAAACCATAAATTTTCTTGATTATCTAGCTCTGATTCTGTGTCCCAACATTTGCATTTTGTTATTTTCAGTCAGAAATTCATCTGCATTCTCAAATATTTCATGCTGTGAATGGATAATTTTGTATTGAGCAGTGTATATAAATTTAAAAAATCTGAAATTCATAAAATCTGAAAGAAGAAAATGTTTGTGTTCAATCCCCCTCGATTCTTGATACAACCTTACACTATACTTACAAAGAAGTGTGGATCAAGTTGCCTTGTAATGTTCTTGAAGTGTTCAAGAAAATGTTGTTGTCAATAGAAGTGTTGACTAGATCGAAATCAGGAATGGCTTAGGCCTATTGGTACGAAAGCTTGTAAGTTACAAGAATCACGAGGAATCTGCAGGCGCTCTTAAATTGCATTACTTTACAACTTTTCTCACCAAAATATGCACACAATGTGATTTCAGATGATCAAGGTTGAGGATTTTGAGACTAGAATGACCTTTTTACGGTCTTCTCCGAAGGATGGTCTCCACATATTTTGGGTTTCCCATAGCAAAGCATGGACACTGTCATTATATTCATATGAGAGACCGGGGTATCATTTAATGAGCTAATTGCTCACAGTATCTCTAGTTCATTTTGCATATGCTTTTGTAAAAAAAATAGACTTTTCACATTTGAATAAATATGTTCTTCTTGAATGTTGGTTGATTGATTGTCTATTGCTAAACGCCGAGTCAGCGATTTTTCAGCCATGTTGCGACGGACTATCAGTTTAAATAATCGGTTTTTGAAGGATTTTGGTTTCTCTGGCGGCCTCCAGTGAGCTTACTCTTTTTCGAACTCCAGAGAAACGATCTTTTACATGCCAAGGGGGTTGCCATCCTTGACACGGGGAACCATGTTACTTGAATGTTGAAAATACCAAAATTCCGAAGACAGACTGAAACATATAGCAAATAAAGCTGGAATAGAACATGTTAGGGGATAATACTAAGTTCTTATAAGTGCTAAAAAGCTAGAAATCGGACAAGGATTTCTTCAGTTATATTTGATGGTGTGCCGAGGGATGTTGAGGTAGAAGTGCGAGTTGATAATGACAGGTTTTGGGAGTGATTTTAGGTGGACGGGGGCTCAAAGGCTTTGAAACACATACAGTCAAATTTGGAAACTCTGAAGTGAAGTTTGTTTTAACTAAATCCAGACAAAAATGAATCTTTTCAAGTACTTTTTGTGCATATTTAATGGACTAATCAATATAATATACATACTATGTATAGTAAAAACAAACTGTAATTTATTTTCTGCAAAACTAACCAGAATTAAGCAGTTTCTATGAAATTTGAGTGTATCAGACGTAATTTTGAATCGCCCTTTTGAGCTAAATAACACATTTCAAATTTAAACGACTAAATTTTCGATTTGAAGTGATCAAATTAGTGTTTTGCTGGCATTTTACATAGTTGCACTACGCTCAGTAAGATATTCACAAATCCTTTCTCCTTTGTAAACGACATTAAGAATTAAATAATTTGAAGAAAAAGATGAATATCCGCCATTTTGAATCGCCATTTTGACTTTTAACTTAAAGCTGCACCATCATTCAGTTGTAGAATAGTGAGATGTAGAGAGAAAAATACAAATCTGCAGTGTGTGGATATTTACAAATGTAAAATCCTAAGCAAAGCGGAATATAGAAACAATAGACAAAAAAAAAATCAGAGAAAATTCGAATTAAGTGTAGAAACGACTAAATTTTCTGAGTTTAACTTATAATGTTAGCATTCTATTATCATTTTTATACTTGTATTACACCCAGTGAGATATTCACACATTATTTCTCCTTTTTGAACGATATTAAGAGAAAATTAAAAAAATTGGATGTCCGCCATTTTGAATCGCCATTTTGACCTCTTTAACGCCATTTTCATGAAGTCCAGCATATTTTTTCAGAATCAGCATACTCGAAATAGGCTAAAAAACTATGCTGGACCAAGTAATAATTATTTGCCGTTAGAAGTATTTTTTTCTATAAATCGGACCAGACTAATTTTGTCTAAAACTTTGTTGTGCATGTCATTTAAACGTACCGGTAATCAAGGAAAATCTTGCTGCTGCATGTAACGGTGTATCCCCCTCCCATTCTTTGAAACTAGTTAAGTTGTTGCTTCCTTCTGGATTTGTGGTGATATGAACGATAAGGGGCACAATCCATGAACTGACTTCCTTCACAGCTTGTTGTATGATAAGCGTAAATAATGTGTTGTACTTAATTGTACTGAAGTCTGTATTCCTGGCAATACCCTTTGCTTCTATTTCAATCAAGAATTGTAACGTTTATAAATTGCATGGGAAGTCTGATGGAGAAAAGGATATTGATAACCATTTATTTTGAGAAATATTGAATATTTACCACTGTTTTGGTCTATTCCAATAACGAGGTGCTTAATGCATAACCATTCTGATTCTTTGCTGAGTCTTTGTAACACAGAAGGCAAGAAATCAACTGGAGCGTCTGCGAAGGCACCGTACCTTTCGTTTTTTTCAAAGTCTTATGGTTGGATAAAAAAAGCGAATACAATTGATTATATTATTTAAACGGATTATTTAAACGGACTATTTCTTCATTGTAAAAAGTTCCAGTATCTTTTATAATTAAATACGAGAAATATGTTTTAAAAGGAATTTAGAAATTTGCATTTTTTTACTTTACTAAGTATGGAATTGATTTACATGTAAATACATGTAAAATAATGCCCTTCAGAAATTAAGCGTACGTGACAAATCTGAGATACATATAGAACCAAAATTTTCCTTAAACACACGTGTATTTCAAGCAAATAATAAATGTAAGTATAAAAAAATATAATTTATTTACTAACCAGACAGGTATTGGAATGATTTGACACTTTCAATAACAAGTTCACATTTGTCTTTGTTGGCAATCTCAGAGATATTTACTCCTTCCATAGCAGCCACAAATGCCTCGGTGTTCTGTCCATTTCTTCGTAGTAACTGAGACTTTCTCCAGTGGCCCTACCATAAACACATATGTTCATGTACAATGTATCATTGAGTTAAATGCTGACTGACGTTTTTCAGAAAATAATTGTTAGTCCATTATTTAACACTGATTTGACGACGGATTTTTCCCGTTATTTCCTGATCATGACAGCGAGCACACGGCGGGTGTGACCGGTCAGCAGGGGATGTTCAATCCTCCATAGCACCTGATCCAACCTCTGATGTTTTGGAGATCCGTGTTTGCTCTCCTCCTAATTTGTATTGTTTTATAGGCTTTTGATATTGAAAACTGTTCGTTATCTCATTATGTACATGAATATCAATATAAAGCTTTTCTAAAAAATTATCATAATTTACTCTAAATGATTCTGGTTCCGTATTTTCAATGAGACCTCTGATCAACACGTCATTTTTCATGTCATTACAAACCATCCTCTCAATAACCCATTATCATGTTAAGATAATAAATTAATATTATTATTTGCTCAATTTTAATTTTTCTCCTAGATTTTTTAATATATCAAAAGTTCTTATTGCTATCATACCTTATCTTCTTTTTAAGAAATATGTGTGAAGGGGTTTACGTGAGAGTGTGGTTTTTGTGATATGAATTAGAAATTTCTCGTGTTTTGAACAATATTAAACGCAAATCCAAAATACCATTGATTTTCATAAGTTTATTTGTAATGAATGAATAATATATTTTTGTAATGTTATTTTACAACCGTTGCCTATTAAGTATTACATGTAGGAAACACTCGATAAAATAAGTGATATTTTTTTTAATTTGCCAAAAAAGGTATTTTCTACCATTCGTAAAATCTTTTCAGACTTTTAGTGACAATTCAGCTGTAAGATTGAATGATAAGGCTTCCATCTTAAGAAAAGGCATCGTTTAAATGGACAAAGCTTATAAATAGTTTCATAAATGATCAATATAGATAACTTAAATACCTTCATCCATGTCTTGTCTATTTCGATCGCCAACTCCGCGTCTTTTAAGGCCTCTTGTAGATGATTACGTTCCGTATAAACTGTACATCTATTGGTGTAGAGAATGGCACTGTCTCTGTATAATTTATCACAGCGGGTGGACAAATTAATGGCTCTACTATAAAAAAGGAGAGCCTGCTCGTATTGTTGCTTCTCCTTTGCTGTATTTCCTTTCTCTTTGAGTTCAAGAACATGTCTTCGAACAGTTTCTGAATAAGTAAGAAGGTGACTCATATCATCTGGCTTTTGAAAACCATCAAAACAAGCAAGAGACCAAGAGGAAGGCATTACATCAATGCCTGTATTTACAGATTATATAGGAAATTTTTTAATATTTTCAGACCAAGGAAATTGAAATCGAAGAATTTCGTTGACTTAAAGAATAAAAAACGATAAATTAATACACAAACCAGAATCATTAAATATGTTTGATAGAGATTCAAAGCATTTGTCAGTACGATTACAGTAGTCAATGGGAAGTTTTTCGGTTTCGTCAAAAATAAAAGCGCTGCAGCCAGATTGAATGCAAAGCAATAGCAAGTTATTCCTCTCCACATCACTACAGGATTTAAACCGAACGATGGCGTGTAGAGCTGAATAGCCATATCTATCAACTGCGTCCTTTTTCTCCTGGGTGTCCAGATAATTTCTAAAGAACAGTTTTATTAGTTCGTCATTCCCTGTCAAAACATTAAGATCAGAATGTTATATTCATATTATTTCACGATTGAATATATTTTGAATATGAACTTGCTTTTAAAAAAAACAAAATAGATTGTATATTCTAAATTTCAATTACCCGTTTCTAATGTCTTAATGAGAACAATATGAAGAGCTGGAGCTCCAAACTTTTCTTCGATATCTTGGTAAGGAGAACCGTTTTTTTGAAGTGCAACAGCAAGTCGCATCCCATATCTTTTTAAATCAGGAACAGAAAGATCCTTAAAAAGACAGGCAATCGAAACATATTTGGCAGAAACGTTCGGAATCGAAAAATCCAAAGAACTCCTCGGGCCTCTGTGTTCCCCGGTTATAAGTAAGCTGACGCCTTCCCAGTAATGACTGCTAGCCAACCTTTGTAATAGTTTCTCTTGAGCATCGGCTTCGAGGGATTCGGGGTTTAATTCTTCATGTTCTGCCAAAAGTGAATCACAATTTCCTGCAGAAAAAGATATGTTTGTTGCATTATTTGATAAACCAATAAGGGTTTTTTTCACTGCACGATAAATATGTTGAAGATCATAAGGTTTAATAACAGATTTTAACTTAAGAATTTAAAACAAACCTGTAGTTTTTGTGCATAGATTTAAACAAATTCAACAAATTAGGAATTTGACGTAAGAAAATATTGCCCTTTCTGATTCTTTTTTTTTTTTAAATATTCATACATTTTACCTGTAGTAAAGAAGTCGAAAAAAAGTGTTTATCATGTCCAAAAATTTAATTCTTTTGACGTGTTGACTTATTTCCTTTTGACAGATCTATACATCTGCTTTCAAAAGAGTATGATACTTGGACGTATCATTTTCTTTTTCTGACATTCGCCATTCAGAGAAGGATTCAATACACTGTTAATATCACACAGCAATACATTCAATGTATATTATTATATTCTACATTTAAAAAAAGATGTGTTAATGGAACAATGATGCTCCGTATGACAGCTTATTGCGAGGGTTGAACTTTCTGAAATAGAAGACAAACTCAAAGGTCGAGGTCAAAATTGTTGGTTTCGCAAGAGGAATAAACATGTGAAATATGCAACCTCTAATTACATGTATAACTGTTTGAATGTAGTGGCCAAGGTCAATGTTTTAATAGGTCAAACTCTAAAGTCGAAGTCAAAGGGTCAAAATATTTATACCCATAGAAATCTCTTATAACATTAAATACACATGTGATGTATGAAAGCCCTAGACCCGACTGTTCAGAAGTTATGGCTAATATTTAAGTTAAGCAATTTTATACTCCAAGGTCATAGGTCAAATTTGCTTGTACATGATGAAAGGACTTGTCTCTAGGAATATACATGTGAAATATTAAAGTCACCGCTCTGCTCACTTATAAGCAAGAGTAGAGTTTTTGCAGACAACTGCAGACAAAGAGACAGTCAGAGGAAAGGACAGAGCAAAATTTTTAAACATGGGTTTACCCCTCCCGAATTTTCGATTTTAGGGCATTTAAACTCAGAGACAAAAAAAGAAAGGACTGAAATCACAGTTATCTTCTAATTGTATAATTATTTTACATCTGGCAGGTTTCATGTTTCATCTCGTGCTAACTTTTTATCAATTCAGTCGCCCGCGTGGCGCAGTGGTTAGAGAGTCTGCTTTAGAGTCGGGAAGTAAGCAGTTGACGCTTATTATGCCACGAGTTCGAATCCCATTGTGGGACGTGGAGACCGTTCCTTCGGGTGAGTTTGTTTAAATTGATGTACCGTGTCGCAGTAGGTGCTGGCAAAAAAGATTTCATTCTGCTCAATATTGTCCTGAGTGACGAGCATACTGTTAGGATAAAATTTGCAGCTCTCCGTCGGGAAGTACCACGTGAGTGAAATTTTCGAGAGGGCCGTTAATCAACATATAATCAATCAATCAATTGATAAATCCACGGTTTTTCTTCTCATTATTATTTTTTTAAAAATACTAAGATCTTACTCTAGCTCTGAATGATATTGCTAAAAGAAATATACATTTTAATTGTGAATGCATATAACATAGAAATATAGCAATCAATTTGTATAAATTAAATACCTTGATGTCTGTGAAGCTGAGTTATTGTAACGATAAGTTCTTGTAGAAAAGTTATTGCGTTTTCCTGGTCACCTTGGGGTAGTGTCACATTGTAGCCTTGAATCAAGATATTCAGAGCCTCGTAAAAATTATTCAAACCTTTGTAAGCAGCAGCTGCCCGCCAATACCCCTAAAAATTCACATATATGACCTGATAAGAGCATATTTATGGAGAAAAAGGATAATAAGGCAAATACAATCTCCACTACCTACTTGCAAAGAAAATATCTTTTTCAAACAAATTCTTTAAAAAATGATGATTTTTCTCCAATTGGGGTAAAAAGATTCCAAAAGACTTCTTTAGCAATTATGACTATTTGTGTGATGTTTTTTAACGAATATTTCGTGCTTATGTCCATTTTAACATACAAATCATGTAATTGCATCAACTTGTAGAAATCACCTTAGCCCAGAGAGGGTCCATATCAATGCATTGTTGGGCATCCGCCAAAGCCAATCCGAAGTCCCCCATTTTACTTGAAACCAATGAACGATTGCTGAAAATTTTCGGTAGTTCTTCTCGGACATTTAGGAAAGGGCCACACATATTGAAATGTTCAACTGCTGTATTATACATTGCAAAAGCACTGGCGTAGTCTCCACGTCTCAGGCTTTCTTCCGCGTGAAATTTGTATTGTTGTAGTTGAAAAAAAGCCCATTGACCCACTGAAAAAAGCACATTGTTTCTCTGAATAATGTTATCTTTACATTTAAACTATGAAGGTTTTCAAATTTTACCAATTTCTGTTAGACAAACGTTATGTATATACACTGTATAAATAAAATAAACAAAGCATCCAACTTTCTAGTTGTGTGTCTCTATATATGTAACATCTATACACGTAAGGTCCAAATAAGATCGTGAAGTCTCTTGTCAATGGCCTTAAAGCAAAAACTATTTAATTATCCTGCAAAGGTAGGTACATGTAAGATCTAGCTTCTAAAAACGGCGTGTATTGTTTCTTGCGTAATGGCCAGCTGTTGATATATTTATACTGTAAAATGAGAAAAATTTAGCGCATACGAATTTTAACGCAAACACAAGTGGGAATGCATCGGCGCAAATAAATTTTAGCGCTTGTACTTGTCAGTAAAATATTTATAAATGTGATTTTTTGTTTATTTTTAATCCACACTCGTATTTAACTTTTTGGTTTGTCAAGCGGAAACGGAAACACATTAGTACTCCAGTATATATAAAGTAAACATTCGTTAACTTTACCGCGTACGTGTTATCACATAGACGTGGTACACTGTTAAAATTTATTTTAATTCTATTTTCAATTAAAGGAAATGGAATATTTACTTATTTAAATCACGTAAAAACAATGCATGCATCTACAGAAAATTACTTAGATAAAACTGTAATCCTAATTAGGTATTGTCTGCAAGCTCAATCGCCATGCTTGATTGCATTGTTTACCTCGAGCCGATAGATGATTGGCGCTCTGAGAAGCCAAACTTTGAGGGTGATAATGATAATAATCGGCTAAGAACTACCGGGCTTACAAAACACTGAACCAAACTTCTAAGTGTTCGCCTAACCTTTTTTAAGGTTTAAAGAACAAATGCTTAATTCTTTAATTCTTGGTTAATGATGCATATTTAAGTTCGATGTTGCGTAAATTTCATGTAAGTATCTCGTCAGAATTTTAAGCAAAGTGTCAATGAAATGATGGACCCTCAAAATTCACACAAATATCTCTATGAAGTAAGACCACCGCTTGCTCTAACTACTACAAACCAATCTTTACAATCTTTACTGTAGGAAACCATGTACCCCTGATTAGGAGATTCACACATCTGCTCAGCTGCCACACCTACCGCATAGATCTTTCCAAACCGTTGAAATTGTGTGGAAGGGAGGGGGGGGGGGGCTTTGACATTCCTTATAAAAATCCCAAATATGTTCAATGAGATTCAGATCCGGGAATTTGACAGTGTATCATCACACAAATGTCTTTTGGTCAATATCCTAGGGTGTTTAGCACATACGTGCACCGATTTAAGGATGATTCAGACTGCTTGAGTTGATATTAGACTGTGACGAGCACCGATTTCTTATCATTTTCATAAGATTGAAATTTTTTTTTATGTTTCTAAGATTGTTTCAAGACAATTTAACACTCTTTTAACCTGGTTTGACGCGAAATTTTGGCCTTAAACGAAGATCAGGGTCACTTCCGGTTTGGTTAAATTTTGTCCAAAAGTTTCAAATTGTGATAAATTGGCGGTGAAAAATGACGCACAGCCTATAGAAAAACGTGTTTAAATGGGTTTTGATACTGGTTGTTAATTTTTAAAAGTAATAACAAGGTCAATTAAACACTATAGAATAAAAGTGAGTAAAACATGGTGCAGGGATGGTCCAGATATCAACATTCCAACGCTCTCCCTTCTATCTCAATGGTCATTTTTCCAATCTTTTGTGTTTTTTAGAGAAACCAGTTTTTTAAATTTGATAATGATCACAAAAATATGCTAATTACACGAAACACTTGCCGCAAAGTAAAGATTTATTGTTTTTAAGCATCGTAACGGTACATTGGTTTTCATAGGTGATATTTTATTTTGTTTCTACAATTGTTGAGAAGACTCATTTGTTGTAATAATTTGAAAATATCATACCATTGTATAAAGTAGTTTTTAAATAAATACATTTATTTTAAAGTGAACACTTAGAAGTTTTGTTAGGTGTACATTAACTGAATTATAATTCGGCAGAACTTTCTGTCCTCCGAACATGTGCAATGCTAGTGTGTATATAAAATCAAATGACCCTTCGACATTACGTAATCGCGTGTTCCGGTTTACATGTACTTATGTAAAAGCTTTGAATACAGCCAAAAAATGATATTTAGAAATTCTTTAGCGCAAAATAAATTTTAGTGCTCTTGGCTCTTGCGCCAAAAGCGCTAAAATTAGTAATGCGCCAAATATTCTCGTTTTACAGTATAAACAAGCAAGCACGAATTTAACTCTGCATACCATTCAATAAATGAACCTTAATTTATCTAGAATTCAAACATGGTAATGCTGTAATGCGCGTCCTTCGATCCATCAAGTATGCAACTTTTGGCCAGCTTTATTTAAAAAAGATACTGCTTCAAAAAATTGAACCTGTTCACTACTCTGGAGAATAGATGCAAAATCTTAAGACAGCTTGGACGTACGTGTATGCATCACTTATCAATCATCAATGCAAGTTTTCATAATTATAGGGTAACCTTTCACAATAATTGCGGCACAAGTCTTTTTCAAGGAACTTTAATACACGCCATTTATTTATCAAGCAACCAAGAACGATCCAAAAATGTTTTGTTTATTAAGTTATTTGCATTTTTTATTTTGTAAAACATTTTTTATATAAACCGATTCGCGGTTTAGAAAGCGTACGTAAACTGCTGATTTAACACGTAATCTGATCCAGCCAAGTTACAGTTTAACTCGGGTAGAGCTATTAAATTCATTAATATTCCTTAAATATTTTCCAGCAATTAATTAAAAGTTAACAAATATTGATTGCTATTTTAGCTGTGCTAAATCCTCAAGAAGACACACAATACATTTTTCGTTTAAAATTAATAACCTGGTATATAAAGATATACATGTAATTACTTTCTAGGATGTAGATATAGTAATTTAGTATACTTACTTTGATCTACACTAGGAAATCCTCCAAATGGATTCATCTTAAATGGTGGATTTTGTCGTGGAAAATGTGCAGTTGTATGATCAAGAATATACTCTGAATGAATGTCGAAACCAATTTTAATATGATTTCATCTCTTTAAGGTATTTGAATCCATGCACTCAGAAACCTCAGAAAAGCGAATTGCCCCAGACACAGGTGAGTTTTAGGGTTCTTTCAGCTTAATAAGTGTTCCTAAAAAATTAAAAAGTCTTATGACTGTTGGCAAAATTTAAAATGCGAATAAAACGAATGTATCCTTAAAGTAAAATACGAAGTCACTTACAATATGAGAATAAAGAATTTAAATCATATATAATATGAATAAATATTTATCAATTTCAAGATACATAATAAAAACTCCTCGATCAAATAAAATGTGATTGACAATCTCTCTGAAGATTTTAATTTCAAAGTACTCGAAAATCTAAGAACTTTCCGATTTAATGTTTAATGGACCATCATTAAATTTTGAAATTTGCTTAAGAACCTTTCGGATTTATCAATTTGTACAGTTTTGTATGATTGTGCAAGTATGTTACCGATATATGAAATTCACTTGAAATAAAGGAAACAAGCCCGTGATACGCTACGGGAGGGGATGCATTCACTTTCTGAGAAAAGTTTTCTTGTGACTGGTATGGAGACGCCACCAATTGCCAATTGAGGGCTTTTTTAGACCCAATGTTGCCAATCAGTTTTATTGAGCATAGACTCTTTTTTCTTTTTCTTTAAGCACAGGGCGTTACATGTTGCTAGTCTTGTTGTACATTCATTTGACAAGCATGGAATATTCAACTTTTAAATTTTTGTTTGTGATTTATTGTGAATTTGAAGTTTATTTATACATAAGTGTTTTGATTTTATTGATTTTTTTTAAATGCCCCATGAATGGTTAAGCGCAACATATTTACATTTTATTATCGATGTGGTTTACAATGGTATCGATTATTGTTACAAGGAACACGTCTCCCACTGACTGGGTATGGTTTTCATGTCGATTTGCAGATGACCCGTGAATAAAATGTATTTACAATACGACTCACTTTAAAAAAAAACATATCAGTGTAATTTACCACAAAGGAAAATATTCGTCTCTAAAATAATCGTAAAAAACCTAAAAGATGTTGATATACACAGTAGGGGATGGGAGGGGGTGAAGTAGAAAGAAATTATGAAAATGTATTTTTTAACAAAAATGTCAAAATGTTGTGACACATTTATTAATCCTTTAAATATTTTCATTTATTTCTGAAATTAATTTATTCATTTGGCATAAAAATACTCTATTCATATACCAGTTGTTATTTTAATTTTTCACTAACAATTATAAGACCATATCATGACAATTCCAGTAACCTATAACTTCAGATTAAAAAAAATTCTCGGCGTGTTCCTGTCCCGTGGGGATCCGGGTTAGAATAGGTCCTCAGTACCCCTTGCTTGTCGTAAAAAGCAACTAAATGGGGCAGTCCTTCGGATGAGACTGTATTAACCGAGGCCCCGTGTCACAGCAGGTGTGGCACGAGAAAGGTCACTCCCCGCTCAAAGGCCGTAAGTGCCGAGCATAGGCCTAAATTTGCAGCCCTTCACCGGCAATGGTGACGTCTCCATATCAGTGAAATATTCTGGAGAGGGGCGTTAAACAGTTTACAATCAATCAATCAATCAATCAATCAATCAATCGGCGTGTTCCTTATGAATGTAACTCTGTTAAAATTGCTAAATAATCAGATAATCTGACATTCGTATATGCAGCTATGTACTCTAGACAGCCTTCCTGAGGAAGGTGAATTGCTGAATTTGCGTATGCTTTTTATACGTATGAACAATTTCTAACACAAGGTATTTTCAAACAGGTTGTTGATAAAAAATATCAACAGACTCGTTTAAAGTCATCATTCCATATGTTCTGTAATCGATACAATGACTTTATCAGCAAACACAGTTCATCATTAAGTCAAATGATAATGGAAGTTCTTCATACTAATTGTTAGGCGCCCCGTGGGGATCCGGGTTAGAATAGGTCCTAAGTACCCCCTTGCTTGTCGTAAAAAGCGACCAAATGGGCGGTCTTTCGGATGAGACCGTATAAATCGAGGCCCCGTGTCACAGCAGGTGTGGCACGATAAAGATCCCTCCCTGCTCAAAGGCCGTAAGTGCCGAGCATAGGCCTAAATTTGCAGCCCTTCACCGGCAATGGTGACGTCTCCATATCACTGAAATATTCTGGGGAGGGACGTTAAACAGTATATAATCAATCAATCTAATTGTTAGGTCAGTATTTACTCACTGAATTGACAACGGATTTTCCCGTTATTTCCGTTATCAAAACAATGAGCACAAGGCGATTGTGACCTTTCGACTGGGGATGCTCACTTCTCCATGGCACCTGATCCCATGTCTGATGTTTGGAAGTCTGTGTTTGCTCTGCTCAATTTTTATATTGTTTTAAGGACTTTTTAGCTTAAAAACTCTTCGTTATCTCCATATATCTTTTAATATAACAGGAGCCGCTTCCTTCAAGGAGGAAAGTGGTCTGTTTACGAGTGCCTGTGATTCTGAAACACGGAAATATAAAGATAGATTATTTTTCTGAAGCCCGATATACACAGTAAAATTTGTATTATAATACACAATCTTACTGTGTATATACACTTAACAAAACTTCTAAGTGTTCACCCTAATAAATGTAATTATATAAAAAATACATCATAGAATGGATTGAAATTTTCAACATTTTGTAACCAATGTATCTCCTTAACAATAGATAAAAGAAAATCGAATATCACCGAAGAAAATCAATGTACCGTGACGAAGTTAAAAAACAAGAAAACGGCTCGTCGCAGCACGTGTTTTGTGAAATCGGGTAATTTTTTTTACCATTGTCAATCTTCAACGAGTGTTTGAATGAAAAAACATAAAACATGGGCAGAATGTCCATTGAGGAAAGAGCAAGAGCCGTTGGAATGCTGGTATCAGAATCATCCTTACGACAGGTTATACTCATTTTTATTCTGATGTTTTTTTAGCTCGATGTCATCTTTAAAAATTGACAACCAATATCAAAAGTCATTTTTACCCATTTTTATTGCAGGTTGCGCGTCATTTTCACCGACAACTTACAGCAATTCGCAAGCTTTGGGCCAAATTCAACCAAACCGGAAGTGTTCAGGATCTTCGTCGAAGGCCAAGATCTCGCGTCACAACAAGGTTTCAGGATCGTTACATGGTTCTCAACCACTTAAGAGATAGATTTAAGCCTGCAACTTTAACTGCAAGACAAACAAATGGTACCCATGGCCGACCAATATCTTCCCAGACAGTGCGAAACCGCCTCAAAGAGGTGCGCTTACGTGCAAGACGTCCAAGGAGGGTTTTGGTATTAACCCGACGGCATCAAATTGCACGTCTTGCATGGGCGAGAAGACACCTCAGACTTACTAGAGCTGACTGGGCAAATGTTTTATTTGTGGATGAAACCAAAATAAAGCTACGAAGTGCTGATGGCAGGAAAAGAGTGTACCGCCGGCGAGGAGAACGTCACAGTGCGGCCTGTGTTGAGGAGATGGACAGATTTGGTGGTGGTGGTAATCTTATGGTATGGGGAGGAGTGTCAATGCACACGAAAACTCCAATCATTCGTGTTAACGGCGGTCTAACAGCAGTGAGGTATCAAAATGACATCCTGAGACCAGTTCTTGTCCCGCATGTTGCAAGAAATAGAGGCATGGTTTTGGCACAGGATAATGCCCCCTGTCATAGCGCTAGAACAACCCAACAATTTCTGGCAATGAACAACATCCGTGTGATGCCATGGCCTGCAAAATCCCCGGATCTAAATCCGATAGAACACATTTGGGACTTGATCAAAAGAAATGTGAAAGCTCTCCCTCCTCCGCACGACATCAACGCATTAGAAAGATCTGTTCAGCAGGTTTGGCAGCAGATACGTCAGCCAACTATTCAGAGATACATTGTATCAATGAGAAAGCGATGTCTTGCTGTGATTAGGGCGAGAGGGGGTCATACTCCATATTGATTGATTTCTGTGAATTTCCATTCAGAGGGTATACCATTTTCTTGACTCATTGTTGAGGAGTATGACGACTAATTTACATGAAGTTTATGTATCATGACAATAAAATAAGTATCATTAATTATGAATTAAAGAAATTACTTAGTGTTTTTATTTGTTCATTAAAACCAAGAAAAACTTGGGTGAACACTTAGAAGTTTGGTTCAGTGTACACTCTAAATACAGTGTATCATACGATTTTTTCGAATCTTGTAAAAATATATTGAGGAAAGGGCAATGCTCTATTTCTTAATACAAGTCTTTACTTTATCTTTCACGTTCAACCAATTAAATGTACTCGCATTGGGGGTCTTCCTATTTATATTATTATTAAAAAAAGCGCATAGTAAATAATAATGACCGACTTTACATGTAAAGACTCCAAAAAACTCTTAGTTTTATTGGAAGGGTAAGAGAATTCGTGGAATATATCAAGCAGTGCATAGTATGATGAAAGACACTGCTATCAGAACCTCATCTTCTATTTTTATTATTTTGACAGAGAAAGAAATATGGCGGGGAAAACACGTAGGAATACGTACGTAGTTAGATTATAAGATATGTATATAAGCTTGAGTACAAGAAAGTATTGTAATACAAAAGTATTATAAACTTGTATTATACTACAAATCTCATCGTGTATACCGGCCTTAAGAGACCCATAAACTCTTAAGTACAAAAAAATCCAAAAACATTTTGTAACACATCCAAAGTTTTTACATATGAAATATTTAAAATGTCAAATCTATTATGTATTTTCTCAGGTGATACGTAATTTTCATATGAAAACTTACCAATTCTTATGAAATTTTTTCGACACAGCTCATATATCAACCTCATGATGAATAATGATTCCTTTGCCAAATTGCGGAATATAATTTCCTACTTTCGCTTTGAATTCTCGGAAGTAACAACTATTTACGGTGCATTGTTTGTGACATTT